TAAACCTCTGGCCGCAACAGTGACGTCAATGTTTCTCCGGCGACAACGTGCCGGGCAGTGATGTATATAATGTGTATGTTTTTGTGAGTGATAGATGAGTATGTGGGTAGTGTTTGTATGTGATGTATGCGCACGTGATATTGAGTGGATGTGGTACACTGTATGTGTGATTGAAAATGAAATGCGTGTAATATTTATGTGTGTGTGTGTGCGTGCGTGCGTGTGTGCGTGCGTGCGTGTGTGTGTACTTTCGATTTTGTTCGTGTATTATTCTTGCCAATTTATATAATGGATAATTTAATGATTTTAAGTGCCTCATAGATCCTTCATGGGTCGGCTGATGTTTTTATCAATCATACGTATGTATACGTGTAATGTTTTTTACTGTTTTTAAACACCAGGTGGCACTATAATAAAATAATTTTCTTCTTCTTCTTCTTCTGTATCCCACGATAGTTCTACGTGTCCTGACATGACGGCGGCAGTCGACCTAATGTCGAACACCCGAGCAGAAAACGTTATAAATATCGAATAAAGACAGAGGTGAAATTGGCTTTAGTGAGTGAGTGAGTGGGAATGGTTTTACGCCGCTTTTAGCAATACTCCAGCAATATTGACACCTGAAATGTCCACTAGAGACGGTCAGAATAAAGACAGAAAACATTGAGAACGATTGATGTATGTTTATTCTTAGAAAACGTGTAGACGGAACGGGAACAAAGTTGTCAGGATGTCGAAAGCAGTAGGTAAAGGGGTCATCGGTAACGACGTATTAGTTCCACACTAAAATCCTTAGTTTCATAATTCCCTGCATCTGGTCAGCATCTGATCAGTATCAGGATAGGATCTGGTCAGTAACTGGACAGCATCTGGTCAGGATCTGATCAGTACCTGGCAGGATCTGGCCAGTGGCTTTGTCATTCAAATGATAATGATCAGTTTTTTCTCCTTTGAGCATAATGGTGTCGTATGCCTTGCAAAAGGTGTGTGTGTGTGTGTGTGTGTGTGTGTGTGTGTGTGTTTTGACTAAAGGGAGTTTGTGTGGTTTTATAGGTTTGGAATTTGCTAGTGTCATTTGATTGTTGCAATTTAGTGTGGACTGGAGTGTTGTTCTGTGTTGCTGGTAATGTGTGCAATATAGTATTACGCGTTCAGGCGTTTCTTTTAAGTTGCAGTGGGGGCATTTACCGGTTGGAGGTTTTTTAATTTGGTGTAGGTGGGAGTTAACTTAGTGTGGTCTATTTGTAGTTTAGTTATTACTCTGTCAATTTTTTATATTTTATTATGGATTTTTGTTTTTTGATTGGGTTTTGTAGCAGGTGTTTTAGTTTGCAATCAGATTTCTGATAGTTGTTTTGCCACTTTTGGAAGACTTTCTCCTTTGTGATACTTTTAATTTCATTTTTGATATTGGCAGGTTGATGCTTACTTCTTCTAATTTTAGTGCTGATTTGGCTGCTTTGTCTGCGTGTTCGTTGCCAAACACTCCAACATGGGCAGGGATCCAAACTATTTCTATGTCTTTACCTAGTTTACGTAGATTGTTGGCGCTTTTAATTATCTGTTGTATTGGTTTTGGGAGCTTTTTTGTGTTTTTGTTTTTTATGGCCTGGGGTCCACTTAATGAGTCTGAAAGGATTAGGGTTTTTTGGTGTCTATTTATTTGATCGCAGTATAGGGCTGTTACTATCCCCATTAATTCGGCTGTGAAAATTGATTGTTCATTTGGGAGCCCATATGATTGTGTTTCTTTTTGGGGTTCGTTGATATGGATGCCGAATCCTGTGCGTTTTGAGCCAGGGTCAAAGGACCCGTCTGTGTAAATGTGACACCAATTTGGACATTTTTCGTGAATGTATGCAAATGTGATGGATATAGCGGTATTTGGATTAGTTGCTTTATTTAGTCTGGTGGAGAGAGATATGTCGATTTTGGGGGGTCGGAGTTTGGGTGTGAAGGTGTTATTTGGGACTGTGTTTAACTGTACATAATTTAGGTTGTGTGTATTTCGGTAATTTATTATGCGTTGAGAGATTGATGTTAATTGAGGGTTTTTGCGAGCTAGAGCTTGGAGTCTGGGGCTCTTATTAGTTTTAAGGATCTGTTGGATTTTGGCCTTTTTGTTGGGTTGAGGCCCAGTTATTTATTGTTAGATGTTCTCGGCGTAGATCCAGGGGTATTTCGCCTGTTAGTGCCTGTAGCGATATGCTCGGTGTGCCATGCTGAGTGCGTGTGATTATCTTGAGTGCTTGATATTGAATTGAGTTTAGTTTATCTCTTAATGAGGAGTTTAAGGTGTTGTATATTTGGCATCCATAGTCTATTTTTGATCTAATTAGTGATTTGTAAAGAGATAGTAGGGTCTTCTTGGAGGCCCCCCTACTTGGAACCTGTCAGGCAGCGTAGTGTGTTTAGGTCTTTAGTGCATCTATTTGTTAGGTTTTTAATGTGAACACCCCAGGTGAGGTGTTCATCAAAGATTAGTCCAAGGAATTTGGTTTCTTTTTGGAATTGTATTTTGTTTTTTGTTGTTGTTTAGTTGTAGTTGGGAGTGTTTGCACGCATATTTCTGTGTTTGAATACTATCCCTGTGTTTTTTTCGGCATTTAGTGAGAAACCCCATTTATTTACCCTTATTTGAATTTTATTTAATGCATTCTGCAGTAATTTTTGAGCCATATTTATGCTTCTAGTGCGGACCCAGAGGGCCCCATCTTCCGCGTATTTGGAAGTTTATATTTTATTGGGTATTCAAACGAATAGGTCATTAATAATAACGTTGAAAAGTGTTGGGCTTAGAATGCTACCTTGGGGGGTGTCATTTTCTAAGGGACACTGGTCCGATAGCGTTTGGTCGATACCAACGGTTATTTTGCGATTAGTTAGGAAGTCTTGGATATAGTTTATTATTTGGCCTTTAAGTCCTGCTCATTTTTCAGTTTTTGTATTAGCCCGTTATGTCATACCACGTCGAAAGCTTTAGAGAAGTCTAGAAATATGGGTCCCACGATTTACAACCTCGTTGACACCACGCCATGACGATATCGAATGATGAGGGCGAGGTAATTTCGCGTATTAACACCTCTTAAGGTCGGCTGTGTCACCCTTTATACTCGTACAGTTGGGCTACGAGTTCTGATTTTATACGTAGAGCCGACCTTTAAGGCCTAACAGCGGTACCACGAGACAATGCCTGTAGACCTCTAGGGTTAACCTCTTATAATACTAACATCGTTATACTGTCCCCTTTAAGACAACGGATGTAACATTATGGACAAACGCTCGCGAGTTATTTTGACAGATATATACCGTAACGTAGTGCTTTAAGGTAATGCGTGTTTGCATTACGAGTAAGGTATGTATATATCTATTGCCCCGTCAATATGATCGATGTATGTTTATTCTTGAAAACGTATAGACGGCACGGGAACAAAGTTGTCAGGATGTCCGAAGCTATAGGTAAAGGGGACATTGCTACCATGGTAATGATGTAGGTTTGAGTGCGGGTCATTGACCCGGAACTGTCACGTGATTGTCCGGCGTTGGACGTTCATTGGTTATCCGGCTGGTCACGTGATTTTGATCGCCGGACCGTCATCGCGGATTTATCATTGCGGCTCGAGCTGTTGGAGATATCGGACGTGAAAATGGATTCTCCAGATTTAAGCGCGGATTGCGAAGATAGTGTCGACTACGGATGTAAATGTTTGGATGCAGATAGCTGTCGGAGTTCCTGGACTTTGGGATCGGATATTATGTTCATTCCCGATCACCCTTCCTACAGGTATTTTAAAAATCGTTTAGATACCTACTACAAATTTCCTATTCAAATTAAGCAGACTCCTCTCGAGCCGGCCAGGTGCGGGTTATTCTACACGGGAATGAACGATTGCGTTCAGTGCTATATGTGTGGTATTAAACTGTACAAATGGAAATATGAAGACAAAATATTACAAGAACATAGAAGACATTCCCCCAACTGCGTCTACCTGAAGACCGTATTTGGCTCACCATCCACGACGATCTAAGACGTCGTCAACATCCACGTGTACAGCGTACGCACAGGTTCCTTACGGAACCACCAAATGTCCCAAAAGAAAACCTTTAACGTTTTGCTGAGACGCTTTCAATAAAGATATCCTTTCTCTATTTCTTTTTGAGCTGGAGAATTTCACTTTGTATTTTTTTAATTTCTTTTTTATTATTATTGTATACACTAAGTATAGAATAGCATTCACTAGGTTTAATTATGAATAAGTTACATAACAGCGCTCAAATCATAATGGGATGGGACCCTGGGTGGAGGGTGGAGGGGTGGGACCCCTGGGTGGGGGAGGGGACCCTGCGGGTAGAAATCAGCCAATGAGAGGACAGAAATATATGACGTCATTACTCTGGGTTGGGAGGTGGGGGAGGGGGACCCTGCGGGTAGAATCAGCCAATGGGAGGGCTGCAATATATGACGGACAGAAATCAGCCAATGGGAGGGCTGCAATTAAAAAACGGGCATAAGTGCACTGTATACTACTGGAATATATTATAAAATGCTTCCAGGTTGTGTTAAATTATAACACATAGTTAATACATATAAATTCATTCATAAGTGAATGATAAAATAAAGGATTTATACATACCCTGTGGGTGACACCGGGATGTGTCTATAAACCCACATCATATAGGATTATGGCATTCCTTTAAAAAGTAAATAACATAACTAAAATGCCTGAATACATACATACACACATACATACATACATACATACATACATCATGACAACCATTTCCTTAAATTATAGAAAACCAACTTCTAATTCAATCCTTACATTCAAAACTCATACTCTCACACATACTTACATGTTAAACACTTTATACCGATAAAATAGAAGATATCTTGATTATTTGATATCATTGGTAAGCATTTACAATATTTTACATTATTGATAACATATTTAAATGATAAGTTAGAATTCTATTTAGGAAAGATAATGTAAATAACCAACCTGAACTATATGTAGTCCATGTCCTGTCAGTGCAGAGTTACAAGCAGAGTGCAGTCTCATCAGTATCCTCTGTATCCATTATATCCACTTCTTCTATCTCCTCTGCTCTCTCTTCCCCCTCAGCTGGCCGATCAACTGCACTGACAGTTGATGCTGAGGACTTATTTAGGAAAGATAATAACTTACTTACCTACTTACTTTGGAGATTTACGTGCGCTTTCCGACTGATGCGTATTTTTAGCACACGGGCCCGGCCAGGCCATTTAATGTGTTTTCGAAAGGGGCGAAAGTGGTGTGTGCAACCCAAGAGGGGGCTTTAGGGGTTGCTTATATAGAATTTGGGAATTTTGAGATTTGGAATAGATGCCGATGGGGTTGGGGAGTAGAACTAAGGGAGCTGGGTATGGTGGATGTTTGTTTGTTTATGTGATTTTGATTTGGTAGATTATAGTGTTTTTAGATGCGTTTTATTAGTTCCGTTTTGATTAAGAATACGCCTAAGGCCTTGAAGTTTTCTAGTTTATTTTGTGGGTTTAGTATTGCTTCTAGAGTGAGAGCCTTGTTTAGATTGAGGTTGGTTTGTAATGCGGTTCGATGTGTTAGGTAATGTGTGCAGTGGATGAGTGCGTGTTCTGGGGTTTCTAGTTGTTTGCAGTGTGGGCAGTTACCTATAGTGTGTTTTTTTATTTTTGTTAGGTGGTTATTTAGGTTGGTGTGTCCTGTTTGGAGTTTAGTGGTTACTCTGTCGATTTTTTTGGTTAGTGGTTTGCAGTGTACTTTTTTTATTTGGCTATTTGAGTTTAGATAAAGGTTATGCCATTTTTTGGTGATATTTTGCTTGTTTACGCTTTTAATAGGAAAGATAATAACTAACCTGAACTATATGTAGTCCATGTCTTGTCTGTGCAGAGTTATAAGCAGAGTGAATTAAAAGTGTGCAAATGTTGGGGAAGAAAGCTGTAGTCTGATAATGTTAATCAGCTAGGAGGCTGAAAGGCTATTGTATGTCATGACAAGCTACAGAGTTTGTGACAAAGGGACAGGAATAGACTAACCTGTCCACCCTTCAATATAATGGACCAACCGCTTGGACTCTTAACCCAAGCATACACATTTTGTACTACAACTAATGAAGATGTATACAACTACTTGAAATGAAAAAAGCTAAAACTAAATTCCTAAAAAACTATATATACAATATCCTGTTACAATAACTGAGTAGTTAATCGGTTTCACGGAGGAATTAAGAAACCCATTGACGTACATACTGAAACGCAAAATGTATTACCTTTGATAAGTTGGCAAGAGATGAAAGGCACCCGCCCGACTTGTTTCCACAACTCTTAACTTCCATATGATGGATGATTATTTTAAGAAAGATTTAGTGAAGCCTAAGGATTATATGTATTTACCTTTGAGACATGAGATTGATTATGATTACCCTCTCCTTACAATCGTTCCAACGGCTCTTAGTTAGAGAAACATGTTTTTTGTGATAGCGATTCATGAAGGCGCGTACTTTGGACCAACCCTCTCTCTCGTGGATTACCCATCCGGTTGGATTCCGCTGGCGCAGATGGATTGTGACGTCACGGATGGATTTTAAAGCTAACAAATATCTACTACTTCCGCCTCTGTGGCGATAACTTCATTAGTATGACAGACGTCCGGCTTGTTTCCAGTGTAATAACACAACAACACTACGTTGTTGTTTCTCGATTCAGCGTAATAAGATGCCGTTGGTTCCGGGTCGCGCTTATACACACGTGGCCCTTTCTGCGCAGTTTTACCATAGTGTTATAAATGTAGTCAGTTCTTCAGTAACTGCACATCCCCGCCGAGACTCGTCACAGACGAATAACACAAAGGTATGTCACTTTCTGTGCTGTGTTTTTGGGGGGCAGATTTTTTTGTTTTCTAGTTGTGAGAAACTGTATTTATCTGAAAGTATATAATAATATATCTCGCTCGAGTGAAATAACATGTTATTTCATAATACTTATGCCGTCATTATTGTCATTCTCCCTTAATGACAGTATGATTTTCCGTGATTATCAGTGAGAACATACATAAATAAATAGACACTTTGTCTTTTCTGGTATGATAAAAAGTTTAGCTCAAATCGTGACCTGACAAAGTTGACATTTTCACTCGAGGCTGCGCTCTGACTACAATATGAACTTTGTTAGGTCAGTCGATGAGTTAACATGTTATTTGACAAGGAATATGGAATATGGAGCAATACTCCAGCAATGTCACAGCCCTTCGGCGTGACGAACGGAGGCTTTAACCACTAGCTTTCCCCACCGCCCCTTCAGTCAAGGAACTGAACCGTTTACCTCGCGAAGTGCTCAGTACGATTTTAGATGAAGGCACGACTCGCAACAATTGTTTTTTGTATTTGGCAGTTTCCGTCTTATTCATACTTTTGTTTTCAAAAAGTTTTATTTGGTAATTTATGCTTTTCGATAAAATCCTAGCCACCCCACAAGCCCCAACCTCACCCCTCCAGATGTCCAATCATCGGTTCGTCACTGACGTAAATATAGTGATGTTTGGGGCGAAAAATCATTTTGTTATTAGCTGTTCCTTCGTTGTATATACTTTGTTACTCGCATGTATTTCATATAATAATATTGGGTAAGTGAGTGAGTATGGTTTTACGCCGCTTTTAGCAATATTCCAGCAATATCACGGCGGGGGACACCAGAAATGGGCTTCATACATTATACCCATGTCGGGAATCGAACCCGGGTCTTAGGCGTGACGAGCGAACGCTTTAACCACTAGGCTACCCGACCGCCCCTATAATAATATTGAGTAAAGCTGTCTGGGGTGTTGCCGATAATGCGTTAATGTTAAGTTATATGATGCCGACGTCTTTATTTCTAATCCGGGTCTTCAGCAACTCATGCTTGTCTTAAAGGCGACTATACTTGTCCAACCAACGGAATCGGGTGGTCAGACTCGCCGACTTTGTTGATGCATGTCATCTTATCCCAATTGCGTAGATCCATGCTCATGGTGTAAATCACTGGCTTGTCTGGTCCAACGAATATTATTTACAGACCGCCGTCATATAGGTGGAATATTTCCGAGTGCGGCGTTAAACAACAAACAAAAACAAACTATATTTCTATTCTTGCTGTTCTGTCAATAAATGGATACATTGTAAATAAGCATGTGAAAAAATATGTATTTCAACAAAAATGAACTGTCAACTTACAGACAAGAATGGGATGTATTTCTCATCTTTGTCGTCGCATATTTCCGTGTGCTAAAGCGAAATGACTTCGGAGCTGACAGCGTAACGAACTATTCATAGTTTCAAATAAGCTGAGTGCTGATATCTTATCGAGATATCGGTGCCGATGAGATTATAGCCTGTCGTCGCATATTTCCGTGTGCTAAAGCGAAATGACTTCGGAGCTATCGACAGCGTAACGAACTATTCATAGTTTAAAATTAGCTGAGTGCTGATATCTTATCGAGATATCGGTGCCGATGAGATTATAGCCGTTCCACAAAGTTACAACGTCTTACATGATATACTGAATTAACATACAGTACACTACGGTTATAACGAACACGCTTATAACGAACTGACCGATATAACGAACTTTTTTTTAGTCCCGGCCTTTTGTTGTATATATGCTGTATATCTGTTTATAACGAACTACGGTTATAATGAACTATAATGAACTAAAATTAGTGGTCCCTTTGAGTTCGTTATAACCGTAGTTTACTGTAGTTTCGGCTGACGAAGCTGGCAAGGTGGTTCGATTTCGGCCGCGTCAAACTTCCGTTCGACATTTAGGGGATAAAACAAGAACTGGTCGGCTCGGCGTCAGTATATGTCAGGGGAGCGAAAGGTCTGAGGTTCGATCCCCGGCCGCGTCACGCCAAAAGACGTTAAACGGTGGAACTTGTTTTACCTTGCCTGGCGCTCGGCATAATAAGGACTAAAACAAGGACGCAGGTACGCACACACACATAAGTGAAATAATAAATGAACGCGATAAAACACCATAAAAAGGAAAGAAGAAAATTTAGGGATCTGTTTCTGCGGATAATCAAGACTGATAATTCTCTGACGATCACGTTTCATATTTAAGCATATGACATCTCTGGTTTAAAAATGTTAATATAAATGTTTATCATATAATGGGTAGGTGTCTCTGCAGGATAAAACCAACGGGTAAAGCGATATCCTTTGGTGTCATGTTCCGGACAGAGATGCAACTGTCAAAGTAGGGTCTACTTTCGAACTGTTTACAAACAAACATGGCGTCGCGCTTGTCAATCGGCGATCGAGTAAGAATTATCCATCGGAAATCTGGAGAAACGACTGGGCTAAGTGCTAGCATTATCAAACTAATAATCTAATACACTGAAATTCACTAAGACAAAATTGTTATGGATGAGCAACTTCATTATTACAATTGGGCGACGTGGTTGTAAAAAAGAAGTTGCTCATCCATAACAATTTTGTCTTAGTTACCATTCCAACTTCTAAATGCCACTCAAAGAAGTCACTGAAAGTCAGTGTCTAACTATCACGTAACTAAGGCATATAAATTGCAAAGCAAATTATCGTGGACACTAGCCTGGCTGGATCAGTTTCCTTATCTATGATGCTGACGGCTTGGAACTTTCCCCCAAGTTTGATTTCGCCGAAAGATGAGCGACTTGAAACCTTGTTTCACTTTTTCGCTGTATGTACATCCATCGGACCCGGATGTGCGTGTTTGACACACTATATATTAATGCGCACATTCCAGGGAAATTTGCAATGTTTAGGTAATGTTTGCAAGAGATTTGTCGAGCAAAGAATTGAAGAAGGACATAATATGATAAGGAGGTTATCAAGCGTGTGTGTTTGGGGATGGTAAATATCCTGTTTTAGGACTAAAGATTATGTATTTAGCTCGACAAGGATCGCTTAATACAATGTTTTCTCCTAATATAGGGGCGGTAGGGTAGCCTAGTGGTTAAAGCGTTCGCTCGTCACGCTGAAGGCCCGGGTTCGATTCCCTACATGGGCACAATGTGTGAAGCCCATTTCTGGTGTCCCCCGCCGTGATATTGCTGGAATATTGCTAAAGGCGGCGTAAAACCACAACCACTCACTCCTAATACAGGACATTTACCATCCCCAAACACCCTCGCGTGATTGTTTTTTGTTTAAACGCCGCACTCAGCAACAGTCCAGCGGTCGATGGCGATCTGTAAATAATCGCATCTCTGGACCAGACAATACAGTGATTGATCTCATGAGAATCGATCCGCGCAATTAGGGTTACGATGATATGCATCAACCAAGTCAACGTCCTCTAGTTCGTAAACACAGTTCTCTTATCACCCCGACCGCTGCGGCTAATGGAATGCAGATGTTACAACCACTGACACCACGTCGTGTTATCTAAACGTCAGATACACGAGCAACTACAATCCTCGAGTTACAGACTCCCGGAAAGCAATTACTTAAGCGGACATCTTAGTGTTAGTGTTAGTGTTAGTGTGTTAGTTAGTTAGTGTGTTAGTGTGTTAGTTAGTGTGTTAGTGTGTTAGTGTGTGTGTGTGTGTGTGTGTGTTAGTGACGGCGGTCTATAAATAATCGAGTCTGAACCAGACAATCCACTGATTGATCGCATGAGCATCGATCCACGCAATTTGGACACGATGATATGCATCAACCAAGTCAGCGAGTCTGACCACCTGATCCCGTTAGTCGCCACTTACAAGTATTGGTTACTGGAGAGCTCTTCTAACCCGGACACGGGTCGGACATCCTGGTATGACACACATTGAGACGGAAATTTCACCCGCAACAGGACACTTACAGGAGATAAGGTACCGTGTTTCTGGACATGTTACAGTGGCTTCAAATTGGTCGTATATTGGTTGGATATCTTAAAAGGAACACATGTATGTGACATAAGGTTTAAATGACACAAGGAACATCGCTTCAGTATCAGTACCAGAGACCATATACAAATATCTGTTCCCTGACATTACTAAGAATAGGACAGAAACACATGTTTACCTATACTATTGTATACAGAAACAATAAGATGTATTTTTATGGACAGTTTGTCTTACACAGAGGCTCAAAGAAACATCAGCTGAGTGTGAAACGTTCTAGTGTCTCTGTTAGCCTGTATCCCATCCCACGATCTGTATTCTCTCGCCTCTGTCTGTCTGTCTGCTTGTTGTATCATATTAAAATGTAACTCATCATGAACATCTTGAACATCAATCTACGCAACTGGGATACGATGACATGCATCAACCAAGTCAGCGAGCCTAGACACCCGATCCGAGTTAGTTGCCTTTTACGACAAGCATAGTCGCCTTTTACGGCAACATGGATTGCTGAAGACTTATTCTACCCCGGATCGTCACGGGTCTGATTCATAGGTACGAATCCCAGCTACGTACGTAACAGACAATCCAGTGATTGACATTATCAGCATCGATCCACGCAATTGGGATACGATGACATGCATCAACCAAGTCAGCGAGCCTGGCCACCCGATCCTGTTGGTCACCCCTTAAGAGAAGCATAGGTTGCTGAAGATCAATAGCCTAGTGGTTACAGCGTTCGCTCGTCACGCCGAAGACCCGCGTTCGAATCCCGACATGGTACAATGTTTAAATCCGATGGCTGGTGTCCCCCGCCGTGATATTGCTGGAATATTGCTAAAAACGGCGTTCAAACCATACCCACTCACTCACTCTAACCCGAGTCTTCTCCAAATGTAATTTATATTGGGTTAGTGACTGAGTGAGTGTAGATTTACGCCGCATTCAGCAAATATTCAGTCTAGTATGGATGACGCAAACCAGTAGTCAGAAACATGCAACGATCAATGCCATCTAGGTCAGAAACATGCAACGATCAATGCCATCTAGGTCAGAAACATGCAACGATCAATGCCATCTAGGTCAGAAACATGCAACGACCTGTTCACTGGGTTTAACGAGTGTACATACACTCACTGAGTTTTATGAGTGTACATACCCAGTCGTCTAGGGCGCCGTGATTCGCTGTGCAGAGTTGCGTCCCTTGGGCACACCAGAAACCTATGATTGTGGGTTCGAATCCCGGTTCGCCCCGATTATGTTTCTAGGTTTGTCAGCACCATACCCGTGGGTTTCACCGAAGTGGTAAACGTCTGAGACCTGCATCACTTCGGGCTTTCCTCCCACATTAAGCTGACACGCCGTGATTTAACTGGGATACTGTTAAAAGCGGCGTTAAACCCAACTCACTCACACACATACGTTCACCCTAGTGACAAAGTTCCTGTTCACTGAGTTTTATGAGTGTACATTCACGCCCTAGTTGCAAAAGTTGTTCCTGTTCACAAATATCACAGGTACGCCCCTAATCCTTTGGCTTTTGTTTTGTGTGTTGGTCCATGTAAGCGGGGTTATTAAAAAGTAAAAAAAAAAATGTGTTGTGTTGTCTGAAGGATGTGGATCGACATGCACATCCGAGAAAAACAGACCACTCACACTGACACAGTCCTAGCACTGAATGCTGATGAAACATGAGTGAAGTCTCTTCAATGGACAAAACTGGCCTGCCCACCCGGGGAAGCAGAGACGATTTTGGCTCAGAGTCCACAGTGGTATAAGACAAAATCGGAGTGTATGGAATCGTTGAATCGTGTTGTCAAACGTGGGGTTGACTTACCCGACTGTTGGGATGGTCCGTATTATTTTCTGTTTTCAAGATCATCTATCGTGTTCAACCCAGAACCCGGCAAGAAGACGCCATGCTGCCAAGCCTTTGGCGGTTGGCGACCATATAAGGGCTATTATATTAACCTGTTTATATGAAAACAATACTGAATATAACAAATACGTATATTTAGCCCCTGTGAAGATCCGTGTTGGTTTGATTGTCAGCACCCATGCTTTTTCCAAGAGGCGACAAAAGAGATCGGGTGGTCAGGCTGAGTGACTTGCTGGATGCATGTCACCGTATCCCAATTTTGTTCAGACTCGATTATTAACCGCCGACATATTACAGAATACTGCTTAGTGCGGCGATAAATGACCAACAAACACACAAACCGTACAATTTGCAGTTATATTGACATTTCATCTTCTAACATTTGTAAGACATATGGTATATGACACAACAATTGTATCACGTTAAAAACATGTCAAGTCCGAATAGGTTTTCGGCAAGCAATGCTTGCCGTAAAAGGCGACTAACGGAATCGGTGGTCAGGCTCGCTGATTTGGTTGAAGCGTGTCATCGATCCCAATTGCGTGGATCGATGCTCATGATATCAATCACTTGACTGTCTGGTCCACAATCGATTATTTACAGACCGCCGTCAAAGAGCTGAGTGTGACATAAAACAACAAACAAACCAAACAAAACCTAAACTTGAATCGGACATCATGTCATGTCATCCTTTTAAGACTTTTCTCTGTTACATTTTACCACAATATATTTTTCTTTGTCCAGACTGTTACCCAGGCTTGAACTGCAACCATCATGGCGTTTACACAAGGCCGTCGGAGCCTCCTGACATTCCTACTGATCCTGATCCCTTTTGGCATTTTGGCCTTTATGCTGGGAAGGTTCTGCCAGAGCTGCGTTGAAGCAACAGTTGAGGACTCTACATTGGGTACTGGTAGCTTGAAGGATCCAGAACGAAGTGCGGATACGAATGGAAAGGCCCGTGTTTACACCTGGAATGGATATAAGTGGACGAAGCTTCCGGAGTTCTGTTCATTTATGGAGACGAGAAACTGCCACAGACTCATTACTCCAAGTGGAGACTCGCCAATCTTTCTGCACGATATCAAAGACGACATTTGGATATCTGGATATATTGCCAAGACGGGACTGTGGGAACCTCAAAATGTAAACGTTATTTTGGAACAGCTGCGACTGGACAATAAGATGGGCTTCATCGACTTAGGGTCCCATGTAGGTGCGTTTTCTTTGTCTGTTGCCAAGGCTGGTCGACAGGTGGTGTCCGTCGATCCTCTACCTTCAAACATCAGGAATTTGTGTCAGTCGGTAGAGTATGGTGAACTTTCTGCTCAGATTACATTATTGTTTAACGCTTTATCCAACACTCAACAGGATGTCACATTCAGTTTCACCCCCGGGAATATAGCTGCCACTGAAATAAGGAAATCTGGTAATTCAGAAGACATGTCAGTGTCTGGATTTTGTAGGAGACCTCTGATATCCCACTCAGTGACATTGGATGATATTCTTCCTTTTGTGAAGTTTGATAAAGCTTTCATGAAAATTGATGTCGAGTCAATGGAATTTGAAGTTATATCAGGCGGTAGAAAACTTTTCAATCAGATAGATGTGAGAGGAATTTTAATGGAATGGGAGCACACGAAGGATAGTCCTAAGGCTCCCAAGCTTATCAATCTGCTTCAAGGCATGGGATACAGAGCTTTCTCTCCCTTTGATCAAGGACACCAACTACTCGTGAATGACTATAAGAACTGGACCTACGATGTAATTTGGTTGAAACATAAATAAACAATTAGTGACGAAAGAACTTCTGATAACGGAAGAATTATTTATTTTTATTCGAACACGAAATTGATCTAGACTAGGCGAACAGAAACGAGGTATGTGTAAAAGTGTAAGTCGATATTTGGTTGCTTGTTTAAAGGAGTAATGACTATAATCTATGGTGAAAAATACCTGAACACATTATTGATTTCACCCTTAGTGCTTGGAGGTCAATATCTGGTCAAGGCACGATTTTATGGGTCTGAAATGTAAATTTGAATAGAAAAATAATGCTTCTGATAACACAGAACTATTAGCATTCTTTCAAAATGGAGTAAACGTCTTTGATAAAACAAAATTGATCTCCAACAAGGCAAGCACAAACTTCTGACAAAACTGATTGTATTTGTCTTTGCGTAAATGTTTTTTTATGTTCATTGACATCACCATTATTTGAAATAAACTTTTCTCGGATAAATCCCTAGGTACAATCTTGATGTCACTACTCAGGAATTTATCGGTGAACAACAACACATTCGTTTCCTGACACTGAAAAGTAGGCCCTCCAATAAATGTCTGCAACCCTCTGCACAAGGGACAGCAGCGGACGCTCTCTCAGCCAAATGGACGCAGTGTTTGCTTCGAGCCGCGTGATGAATAATTAGTATTCACTTGACAGTACTGATACACTCAACCCGTGGGCATTCCGGGTACAATATATGTCCCCAGCGACCTATGCTTGTCGTAAGAGGCGACGTATACGTGAATTGAGTGAGTGAGTGAGTATGGCTTTACGCCGGTTTTAACAATATTCCAGCAATATGACGGCGGGGGACACCAGAAATGGGCTTCAGACAATGTACCCATGTCGGGAATCGAACCCGGGTCATCGGCGTGACGAGCGAACACTTTTACCACTAGGCTACCCGACCGCCTCGACTTACACGTGAAGATCCGGGGTATAGCAACCCAAGCTTGTCGTAAAAGGCGGCTATACTTGTCGTGAGAGGCGACAGGATCGGGTGGTCAGGCTCGCTGACTTGGTTGATGCATGTCATCGTATCCCAATTGGGTGAATTGATGTTCATGTTCATGATGAGTTACATTTTAATATGATACAACAAACAGACAGACAGACAGAGGCGAGAGAATACAGATCGTGGGATGGGATACAGGCTAACAGAGACACTAGAACGTTTCACACTCAGCTGATGTTTCTGTGAGCGTCTGTGTAAGACAAACTGTCCATAAAAATACATCTTATTGTTTCTGTATACAATAGTATAGGTAAACATGTGTTTCTGTCCGTTCTGTCCATTCTTAGTAATGTCAGGGAACAGATATCTGTATATGGTCTCCGGTCGTTACGTAGATCGATGCTCATGATATCAATCACTGGATTATTTACAGACCACCGTCATATAGCTGGAATATTGCTGAGTTCGGTGTTAAACAACAAACAAACAAACGTACGAGGCGGCAAAATGGACCGGGTGGTGAGGTTCGGTGACTTAATTGGTTGATTGCATGTCATTGTATCCCAGTTTTATGTTCATAATGTCAATCACTGGATTGTCATATTCAGACTCGATTATTTACATACCGTCGTCTTATAGCTGGAATGTTGCTGACTGTGGCGCAAAACAACAAACACACAATACAAATACACAGTAAAGATATAACTTAATTTAATTATATGTCTATGTCTGCAAGACCGCAGACCAGACTGGTCTAGTGGATCGAGCATCTGCCCGGGCAGCGAAAGGTCGGTGGTTCGATCCCCGGCCTTGTCATACCAGAAGACGTTACAAGATCGTAATTGTTGTTGGCTTTCGACATTAGGGGATAAAACATAGACGGCTCGGTATTCTTGTCTGAGTGGAACATCCATGTGAAACTGTGGTATGTTATAGCGTGGAAAAGCTTTGTAGTCCGGAGTAGTACAAGAACACGCACTCATGCAACCACCCATATGTATGTCACGCACACAACCTGCACGCAAAACAGAAAGGTGAAGAAGACCTGTGCTGGCGAGTAAATACGTCCGCCGATTACGGGGCGGTATTTGTCCCAATTTATTTACACGGCCTGTTGCAGAGTGACCTACTTCGCAGCCATGGAGTCTCTACGGGGGAAGGTGACAATTGTAACCGGTAGGTACCTGCTGGCAGCCAGCCTCGCCCTTGTGGACTGGAGGGACGGATAGAGCAGGGATGGGGCAGGTGGGGTAGGGCAGGTGGGTGGTTGCTGCAGACACAGAGAATCTCTCTGGCGATTGCCGGCTACCATAACGGGGGCTGGCAGATGATATGGACGCTAAACACTGCATGGACCGATTTGTCGATATCAACACTTGACTGATGGGTTGACATATCGCGTGCAACTGCAAACCGTTACGTAATAGTAGACGTAGCTGTAATAGGGTGAGTTAATGAATCGTGTTAAACGCGCTGTCATCAACATTCTAGCTCGGGATTGCCCAACAGTCGGGCCAAGAAAGGTCGGGCCGGGTCGGGCCAGCGGGTAATACTAAAAATGGATTGCAGAATAATAAAACGAAACGTGCATATCTAGGCAGATCTCAATTGTTCAGAAACGTATAGTTTTGCTCATTTAATTGAGTTTGAATCAAAATGCATCTTCAGCAACGTAATAAACTGATAATTATAACTACATACCGAGAGTCCTCGTAGAAAAGTCAGTGTCTTGACTGTGTCTTTTCTTTGATGAGAAGGTTTCTCACCGACCTTAGCGTAGAGTTGTGATGTCGTGGGCTGGAAATGACAGTGTTTTCACTACTCTTCTTTCATTAACTAACGTGTCCCTAATTAACATTTACTAATTCATGTTAAACCAACAAAGGATGTTTTCAGCAAGTGGATGAAACTGGTCCGTTAAAGTCAACCATTTTTACTGTATTTTCTTAAGAAAATCTATGTCAGAAGTGTTCGGTCCGACTCTGCCCGGCCTGTTAAAATCAACTTAAACCTCACAGATGTATCATCAAATGGATTCCCATCTATAGACTAGTATTATATCTACGTATATATCCTTTTACTTTGTCTCAGATCGCTGTACTTAAAGAAAACAAGGAGCTCAAAGTGAAGCCCTTATCCCTATACTTTCTCAACATAGTCTCTATCAGAAGTACCGACTCCGTGGTCTAGTGGTAGAGCGTCCGCCCGGAGAGCGGAAGGTCCGGGGTTCGATCCCCGACCGCGTCATACCAAAAGACGTTAAAAGATAGTACTTGTTGTTACCCTGTCTGACGTTCGGCATTAAGGTGCTAAAACAAGGACTGGTCGGCTCGGAGTCAGTATACTGTGTCTGAGTGGGGTATTCATGTTAAACTGCGGCATGGTATCTCACTGTGCTAGCGCTATAAATCGGCATCAGTCCGGTCTAGTACAAGCAGCCACACACACGTACATGCACGTCGCTATATAAGTGCAATAATCTTGGACGCGACGTTAAACCCCATTTCACCTCACTTATCAGAAGTGTTTGGCTTGTGTTGGGTCCGACTTGGACCGGGCTATCAACATACAGATGTATCTTCAAATGTGTTCACATCTATAGATTAGTGTTATATATACCTATATACTTCTTTATAATGTCACAGTGTATCGCATTTAAAGAAAACTGGTCTGTTAAAGTCAACCATTTTTACTGTATTTTCTTAAGAAAATCTATATCAGAAGTGTTTTGTCCGACTTGGCCCGGGCTGTCAAAATCAGCTTAAACCTAACAGATGTATCATCAAATGGATTCACATCTATAGACTAGTGTTATATTTACCTATATACCACTTTATAGTGTCTCAGATCGCTGTACTTAAAGAAAACAAGGGGCTCAAAGTGAAGCCCTTATCCCTCGACATTCTCAGCATAGTCACTGTCAGAAGTGTTTGGCTTGTGTTGGGTCCGACTTTCTGTATACTTACACATCATCACGCCATACTGTATTTAATTATGTTTCTTATTCTAATACTGCTAATGTTTGTCAGTGGCCAGTGTTAGTATATTTTATGGAAAAGAATTTTTCATACCTATATGGCGATATGTTACAACTTTATTTCGTATTTGTGAGGGACACGACACTATCATGGCTTACAAAAGTATTCTGGAAGCATTTTAGGACAGACATGTTAACGGAAGTTCAAAAGAAAATAAATGGGTTTCGTTAATTAGCCTCAACAAATGCATAAGTTATCAATGAAACGGTATGCTATTAACTACCACTAAAAGCTCAGGTCAGCTAATTAAGGGCAAATAAGTTGATTGATTACACAACACCTAGTCGATTGCAATTACACAAGATGCCATTAAGCAAGCTGAGTACAGGTGTAATTTGTATTTAATTCCATACTTAACGTGCATATACGGACGCTATGAGAAGGATCGATGAGACACATGACTTGAAGTTAAGCAAAAACAAAAGCTTGAACTGTGAAACCAAACATTAATGTTATCAACTCAAGTTTTGGTGCAGGAAGATGTTTTTCTTGCACAAAGATGTACATGTGCATATGTTAAGGTACGAAAACCTGGTATCTAAGTGGTACCTCAGATGTACCACTCGCCCCGTCTACGCAACCTGCCAGTATCTAATTATTTGGAATATCCTTTCCCGCGTTTCTTTAAATTAAAAAAGACTAATTTCATACGAAGGGGTCTGTGATCTAAAAACACAATTAGTATGTTTACGTAGACACAGACACACGTAGTGTGGTCTGTACAACAAATACAACGTTTAAATCTATTTAAATCTATAGGGTTATGGTGAATTTTGGCTAAGGCGAGAAAAACACTTCTTTGAGAGTGGATGTGGAGAGTATGCTTCACTTTGTATACATGTAAATACATTTGATGATACATCTGTTGATTTTGACAGCCCAGGCTGGAGTCGGACCAACCACAAGCCAAACACTTCTGATAGAGACTATGTTGAGAATGTAGAGGGAAAAGGGCTTCACTTTCAGCATCTTGTTTTCTTTACGTACCACGATCTGAGACACTATAAAGTGGCATATAGGTAGATATAATACTAATCTATAGATGTTAACACATTTGATGATACATCTGTGTGTTTAAAGTTGATTTTGACAGCCAAGTTGGACCGAACACTTGTGAGACTGTTTAGAGTATGAGGAGTGAGGTTTAACGATTGCTCTTTTACATGTTACCTAGATAAGCGACTCTTACACACAGACTCCGAAACACTTAATTATGGTACACGTTTTTGGTTTATGATTGTTCATTAATGTCATGTGTGTATGTTGCATCAATAATATGTAGGTATGGTCGCCGATAATGGAGTAATTAGCCAATAAAACTTTGGCCCGTCTTGGCCCGGCCCGGCCCGACTTTTAGGCAATCCCTTCTAGCTCCACTCTCGTGGCAGTCATATACATCCACTTCCGGGTGTCCCGACGCCGGTATCACGACTCACTGCTTAAAACGTTCGTAAAAGGTAATCCATGCAGATTGTTGATGAAGTGTTGGACATCTAACAATCGGGGGCTTGAGGTAAAACATTTGGTGGTCAAATGATCATGAGAATGAAGGGTCATCATTGTACTGTGTTACGAGTCGATTCCCAAATTGAAACAATATGTTAATCCAGAAATGTCACGTGTGGTCCAGTCGTCTCAAACGCCGCAATTCGCTGTGCAGTGCTATGTCCCTCACAATCGTACCGGGGCGGTCGGGTAGCCTAGTGGTTAAAGCGTTAACTCGTCACGCCGAAGACCCGGGTTCGATTCCCGACATGGGTACAATGTGTGAAACCCATTTCTGGTGTCCCCCGCCGTGATATTGCTGGAATATTGCTAAAATCGGCGTAAAACCATACTCACTCACTCACATCCGTACCAGGTCCGCCGACAGAGGTTCAAATACCAGATTCTGTGCTCCTAAATTATGATTGTCATAATACTCGTAATCGTTTAAAACATGACGGCAATGACTACCGTTGCTTTGATCAACACTGTCTCGTCCAGACCCGAATAGATGATATATACTGTTGCTTCCGTTCAGGAGAGGGGGCACGGATGGCCCTGTCGTAATTAGTGCTTAAACCTTTGGTAATCGTGGCATGTCAGAAACCTAACATTGTGGGTTCGAATCCAGGATCCAGGACCTAGGTTTGGTGAGCACCATATTCGTGCTCGTAGGTTTCACCGAAGTGGTAAACGTGCATCACCTCGGGCTTTCCTCCAATATTAAGCTGACAAAGCGGCGTTAAACACAACTCACTTACTCAAAAACACTCTTGCATTAATTATTAACAAATTCTGAATCTGTTGAAAACATTCCTCGAAAAGCCAGGCGAGAAGAGATTGAACTACACTCTTTCGCTGACTGCAACTGAGACGTAGGTGCATCTCATAGCCATATGTATAAGTGGTGCTGACGTGAAGTAGCCATATTTGTACTTATGACGTGAAGTGTCTATATGTATAGTGGGCCATGGCGTGAAATAGCCATACTTATAGTTGGTCACGACGTGAAGCATCTATATTTCTAGTTTGCTATGACCTGAAATAACCATATTCATAGTTTATCATGACGTGAATTAGACATATTTATATTTGATGAAGTATCTATATTTATAGTTTGCTATGACGTGAAGTACCCATATTAATAGTTAGTCATGACGTGAAGTACCCATATTTATAGTTGTCAAGACGTGAAGTAGCAATAGTTTTACTTGTCATAAGTGAAGTACCCATATTTATAGTTGTGATGACGTGAAGTACCCATATTTATAGTTGTCATGACGTGAAGTACCCATATTTATAGTTGTCATGACGTGAGGTACCCATATCTATAGTTGTGATGACGTGAAGTACCCATATTTATAGTTGTCATGACGTGAAGTAGCCATATTTATAGTTGTGATGACGTGGAGTACCCATATTTATAGTTGTCATGACGTGAGGTACCCATATTTATAGTTGTCATGACGTGAGGTACCCATATTTATAGTTGTCATGACGTGAAGTAGCCATATTAATAGTTGGTCATGATGTGAGGTACCGATATTTATTGTCGGTCATGATGTGAGGTACCGATATTCATTGTTGGTCATGATGTGAAGAACCCATATTTATAGTTGTGATGACGTGAAGTACCCATATTAATAGTTGGTCATGACGCGAAGTAGCAATAGTTATTGTTGGTCATGATGTGAGGTGTGCATATTTATTGTTGGTCATGATGTGAGGTACCCATATTAATAGTTGGTCATGACGCGAAGTAGCAATAGTTATTGTTGGTCATGATGTGAGGTGTGCATATTTATAGTTGGTCATGATGTGAAGTACCCATATTTATAGTTGGTCATGATGTGAAGAACCCATATATATAGTTGGTCATGATGTGAAGTACCCATATTTATAGTTGGTCATGATGTGAGGTATCGATATTTATAGTTGATCATGATGTGAGGTATCCATATTTATTGTTGGTCATGATGTGAGGTACCGATATTTATCGTTGGTCATGATGTGAGGTATCCATATTTATTGTTGGTCATGATGTGAGGTATCCATATTTATTGTTGATCATGATGTGAGGTGTGTATATTTATAGTTGGTCATGATGTGAAGTACCCATATTTATTGTTGATCATGATGTGAAGTACCCATATTTATAGTTGGTCATGATGTGAAGTACCCATATTTATTGTTGGTCATGATGTGAGGTATCCATATTTATAGTTGGTCATGATGTGAGGTATCCATATTTATAGTTGGTCATGATGTGAGGTATCCATATTTATAGTTGGTCATGATGTGAGGTATCCATATTTATTGTTGGTCATGATGTGAGGTATCCATATTTATAGTTGGTCATGATGTGAAGTACCCATATTATAGTTGGTCATGATGTGAGGTATCGATATTTATAGTTGATCATGATGTGAGGTATCCATATTTATTGTTGGTCATGATGTGAGGTACCGATATTTATTGTTGGTCATGATGTGAGGTATCCATATTTATAGTTGATCATGATGTGAGGTATCCATATTTATTGTTGGTCATGATGTGAAGTACCCATATTTATTGTTGGTCATGACGTGAAGTCTACAATCCCTTCACCCTGTTCGTTACAGGTGCTAGTTCGGGCATCGGAGCTGGGATCGCGAAGTATTTGGCGAAACAAGGATGTCGACTGTCTTTAACTGGACGAAAACAGGACAATTTGGAGGCTGTGGCCAAAGAAACCGGACTGGTTGAAAGCGATGTCAGTAGTGTCCAATATCACACTGATAATGTATAATATCATCGAATATTTAGTCTATGCAATATCAGTTACTTCAAAACGTGTGCGTTCAAATATACTTCTTTGTAACTTATACAACTGTGGTGTATTATTTATGAATATACATGGGCAATATATATTACTTTCTCACATCAAACATGTGGTATCATATCAAATAGTAAGTAAATCTTTGAAATGATGTACAGCAATATTTCAAAGAGGTTTCATATGACTTTCACATATGACTGAACCTCGTTTATCCAGACACCTTTAATGTTGAACGATATTACGTCATTATGCTGTATTCGGATTGTCTGTAGATTCTCACGACAGTTGGAGACATAGCAAAAGCTGAGGACAGACAGAACCTAATAGACACAACTATGGCCAAGTACGGTAGGATAGATGTTCTGGTAAGTAGATGTTAAGACAGACGAAGCAGTGAACACGTTTAAATCAATGATCATGGCTAACACATCTTCCCGAGACAAGAGAGTTAACTGACTTTAAAAGTCAAGTTTCCACCCTTGCCGAACTAGGCTGGAAGTCCTGGGCTCGATCGTTGCGCTACCAGTGGCTATTACGAGTTATGTCCCTTCTATAACTCTCCTATGGACCAATCAGATTCCACCTCTCGTATCACTTGCATTTTCTTCAAACAAAATGGCGGCGCCCAGTCAAGATGATCTGATCGATAATCAAGATCCATATTGGGATAAAACGGATCTTACATCCCAAAGTGCATCAGAATAAATGAGCACCTTGATTAAAACATGAAAAGATGGGCAAATATCTGTTGACACCGAGTTGGCGGTGCACATGCTTTGCAAATCCTGCAATCGACCAAAATCCGCATGACAGTTTACGAACCGGATTTCGATTTCATTGCGCGATTTTGATTGGACTATGCATCGACTCGTTAATCCAGCCAAAATCTCCATAACCAGAGACTCCATAATATTACCAGCCAAGTTCGACAAGGGTGGAAACTGTGCTTTAAATAGTCATCTAACTCTCTTGCCTCGAGAGGATTGGCTGAACAGGGTGCAATTTATGTTTTCTTTGTTAATAAGAGTAAAAGCGACAAAAGCATTTCCATAATCATAAAAAAGATCTACTAATTGCCGTGTTCATTGTACGATTCCGATTATATCATAACCATGCATGTGCTTACCATTTAGCGAACACCTGGTGTCATCATTCATTTCCAGTGGTCCATACATGTAATTTCCACCGCTGATTTGCCTGTTGCGGCGTGCAATGATTGTTTCGTCGGACGATCGACACTGCTTATTTTCTCTGGTGTTGACGTCTTACATGAAGGGATCGTTATCAAAAAGTGAGTGAGTGAGTTGGGTTTAACGCCGCTTTTAACAGTATTTCAGTTATATCACGGCGTTAGCTTAATGTGAACAAGAAAGAGTGTCACATGTTCCATCAAAATACTTACCTTGGTCAAACTATATTACAATCATATTAAACAGTATTAAAGGAGATCTATTGAAAAATAACTTTTCAAAACATGTTTCAAAGTCAAGGAAAGTACATATTTACACTATGTAATTTCATTGTTATCTAACAAGCAACAAACAACTGCCCTGATCCCACCACCCGCGCGTAGGCATATTGAAATCCCAGCGAAAGGCCGAGCTGCACCCGTGACGTCACAGCGGAAAGACGTCCGCCATTTTTGTTTCGTTCACAGTGCATTAATCCACATGACAACGAAGTGATTTTGCGATATTCTCGGCGTATTGAAAGCGCTAATGTGATATTATGTTGCATGGGGTGTACTAGTTAATCCAACAAAGTACAAGGTGAAATTTCGTCAAACTTCCAAGCGAAAAGGCCGATTTAGCGTGTAGGAAAGTTGAGATACAGCGATGTCAGCTTGGAAAAAAATGGAATCGACTGGAGATGCCGTTTTGTGTTCCTTGCATTTTGAGGAATCTGTCTATGAGAGAGATCCACACAAACTAAAGACACTTAAATGAGGGAGGAGTAGGGGTTTACCCCCTGAATCCCGCCTCTTGATCCACCACCGATGAATATTGCTGTCATTGTCATTGCTGGGTCGGCTAATACTCGGGTACTCGAGTCAGGTGGGTACTGAGGACTACAGGTGGGTAGGTACCCAGAGGACTATCCGGACTCGTGGTTAGTCATGTGATATATGGTTTGAGGACAAAACATCACTGTAACTCCATGGTCACAGTACAAGTTGTACTATTGTTCGCATTCCATTTGTGACGTTTGCCACCAATGGGGCAGGACACGCTCACCTTTTCGCGAACACCTGGCATCATCACTATCTGATAGTGATTCATAAACACATGCTCATGATATAGTCGGAAGCGCACGATCGACTTTTCGTTTCGCAGAAATTTCTATTGTATATGGTTCTGTGGCTTTTGTTTATGTTATTATTATTGACCAGATCGCTCTGTATGTGTATCTAAATACGTTTTCCCAGGGATCCTGTCAAACAATTCGGACATTTTGTACCCAACTCTTAATACCTACAATGAGTACCCGGGTAGTGTCGGGAAATAGGGGTCGGGTACTCGGGTAATGTAGGGTAATAGGGTTCGGGTATCCGGGTTGATTCTTAGGACTCGTGACTGCACAATGTAACAATTAATGCATTACATTCATTTGAAAAGAGAGCAAATTTAGCTTTCACCCTATGCTAATTGCTTGGCATAAAGACAACACAGAGAGCAATGTTTGACAATGGTAAGCGTCAATCTACACCAGCCACAATTACCCAAGAAGTCAGTCTCGCGAATTTTATATTAAAATAGTAATTTCCAGTTTAGTCAGAAATATCGGGATAGGGTTCAATGACAGATTGTGTTACCTCGTCTTTCTGATTGAATGTCTTCACTCGGTAGATTTTCCCCGCTTTCATCCCTTATGTACCGGAAGTCCCCGTGGTCCCTTGTATGGTGGCTTAAGTTAGGTTGCTGGGGATCCCTAGCCAATTTTTGGAATGTATTCTTGGTTACTATTATGGTTACTTACTAGTTTTATATTTTAGCTGTGATACTCTAGTTCTTTTACTGTCCTTTGTCAACGGATTTTATATTCTATATTTATGCATTATTCCTGTATAACTTGATTTAGACACGATATGGCTGAAATATTGCCGATGTGACTATAAATCTCACTCACTCACTTTCATCGCTGCTGTCATGACTTTTTTTACTAACCACAGGCTCATATTGTTATGGACGATTATGTATAACGTCAATGCTCGTGGGTTTCACCAAAGTTGTAAACATCTTAGACCTGCATCACTTCGGGCTTTCCTCCTACATCAAGCTGACGCTCCGTGATATAACTGGAATACTGTTCAAAGCGACGTTAAACCACTTACATGCATGTATATATGTATTTATCAAACTCTTGTAGCACAGTGTGTGGTTTATGGAGCATGAACTGATTGATTGGTTACAGGTTAACAACGCCGGTATCCTCCAGGTGAGTCCGCTGGCCGACGTGACTGAAGAACATTACGACATCATTTTTAACATCAATTTGAAAGCACACGTGTTTCTCACGAAACTCGCCATTCCACATCTGATTGAAACCAAAGGTATGTATTTAATGTATCAGTTAAATGTTGATAAAGTTGTGAGGGATAAACGATGTAAACTCCTACACATGGGTATCAACTACAACATCACTTCCATCAACCAGGTCATGTCATGTCATGTCAAGTCATGTCGGCAAAATTACAGCCATAGTGTGACAAGCTAATGCATTTATTTTTTCGAAAGGTATGCGTTCAGAGATCCTTATACCGTTGTCAAGCAAGGCTGAATAATGAACACGGTACAAAATATATACATTATTCAGTATGCTTGACAACCGTATAAGGATCTATATACAGAAACGTCGCCTTTACATTACATAAAAAGTTGTTATCCATAAATTGTGCTTACTTTGACCTTAAGAAATTCATCTCATTCTAAACTTGGGCTTAGACAAAGTGTATATTATATACGAACTGAGGTGTGTTTCAGAATCTGCGGAACCTCTTGCTAATGTCACTTTTGCTGTTTGCTGTATTACAGGTAACATTGTGAATATTTCGTCCACCGGATCCTGCAAACCAGTAAGTAGCTACCTCAGTAGAATCAGCCGTGGGTGATGAGTTAGGGAGAGGGTGTCAGTTACTTGAGGTTCAGCTGCGGTTATGTTGGTACATGTAGGTGAAGTTCACTCTCCTGTTGACTTTACCATTTACCGTAGCGCCCTAAATGGAGAAGCGAACATGTGCAGTAACTGGTCATCTAAATGTGTTGTGACCATAACAAAGACGTGTATAGACTGGATTATACAAGCTTACACTTGCTTACACTTGTATAGACTGGATAACACAAGCTTACACTTGTATAGACTGGATTACACAAGTTAATACTTGCTTGCACTTATATAGGCTGGATTACACAAGCTTACACTTGCTTGCACTTATATAGGCTGGATTACACAAGCTTACACTTGCTTACATTTGTATAGACTGGATTACACAGGCTTACACTTGCTTACACTTGTATATCGACTGGATTACACAAGCTTACACTTGCTTACACTTGTATAGACTGGATTACACAAGCCTACACTTGCTTACACTGGTATAGACTGGATTACACAAGCTGACACTTGCTTACACTTGTATAGACTGGATTACACAAGCTTACACTTGTATAGACTGGATTACACAAGCTTACACCTGCTTACACTTATATAGACTGGATTATACAAGCTTACACTTGCTTACACTTGTATATCGACTCGATTACACAAGCTTACACTTGCTTACACTTGTATAGACTGGATTACACAAGCCTACACTTGCTTACACTTGTATAGACTGGATAACACAGGCTTACACTTGTATAGACTGGATTACACAAGTTAATACTTGCTTGCACTTATATAGGCTGGATTACACAAGCTTACACTTGCTTGCACTTATATAGGCTGGATTACACAAGCTTACACTTGCTTACATTTGTATAGACTGGATTACACAGGCTTACACTTGCTTACACTTGTATATCGACTGGATTACACAAGCTTACACTTGCTTACACTTGTATAGACTGGATAACACAAGCCTACACTTGCTTACACTTGTATAGACTGGATTACACAAGCTGACACTTGCTTACACTTGTATAGACTGGATTACACAAGCTTACACTTGTATAGACTGGATTACACAAGCTTACACCTGCTTACACTTATATAGACTGGATTATACAAGCTTACACTTGCTTACACTTGTATATCGACTCGATTACACAAGCTTACACTTGCTTACACTTGTATAGACTGGATTACACAAGCCTACACTTGCTTACACTTGTATAGACTGGATTACACAAGCTGACACTTGCTTACACTTGTATAGACTGGATTACACTTGCTTACACTTGTATAGACTGGATTACACAAGCTGACACTTGCTTACACTTGTATAGACTGGATTACACTTGCTTACACTTGTATAGACTGGATTACACAAGCCTACACTTGCTCATACTTGCATGCACTTGCATATACTTGCATACACTTCCCTACGCATGCATATACTTGCATACACGTGCTTACCCATACATAAACATGCATGCACATGCTTAACCTAGAGATTTGCTTACACTCATTCATATAATTGTATGTACTTGCATTGTTGCATCAATCACCTATTCTAACATTGGCGTCTTTTATAATATTGCCATTTTATGGCATATTTTCAAATTAGGTAAGTTACCGGTGCATTGTGTTATATAGTCAAAGCGTATATGTCAATGGTTACGTTTGGTGTATAAACAGATTGCATTGGTTGTAAGCAACCATGTTTCAATGATAATTATGTTTCTCACATCTAGCAATGTATATTGCTGATAACACCACTTTGTTTTTCCCAGGGCACTGGCGAAGGAATCTATTCTATGAGCAAGGTTGCTATGGACATGTATACCAAAGTCTTGGCTCTGGGTATGCAGATAAAAGCGAGGAAACCCTTTCCATATTCATAACAAATCTCTGCCAAGTCGATTGTACGATTCCGACTATATCACGAGCATGTATTTGTGAATCACTGCCGAATACTGATCTGTACTAATGTTATATTTGGGAAAACACTTTCTTAGTAAAGTACAGATTCTAGAACATTTTTGGGGTTGGGTCCCATCCGAGATTCGAACCCTCACTGCCAGAGTGAGGCACCTAAATGCCAGCTGACAAAGTCAGCGATCTAACCCACTCAGCCACCGAGGCTGCCAAAAAATGAAAGTCCGACAACTGTAAGTATAGATCACGTACTTTGTGTACCCCTCTGACAAGTGTAAATTAGCACGGCTCCCATGGCCGAAAGCTTTGAACACACAATGCCATTTTAGAAAGTGGTCAAATGTAATAAATGTTATATTTGGAGAAACACTTTCTTAGTAAAGTACAGATTATCGTACCTATTATGGGGGTTGAGTCCCAACTGGGATCCGAACCCACACTGCCAGACCGAGGCACCTAATCGCCAGTACACTAAGACAGCGATCTAACCTACATGTACTCATGTCCGATTAGGTGCCTCACTGACTTTGTGTCAGACATTTGACCACTTTCTAAAATGGCAGGGTGTGTTGATGATACTAAGTGTTCGCAAAAAGATGAGCGTAACCTCTCCCACCGGAACACCCGTCAGGAACACGTGCAAAGGCAAGTCAATTGTTCACCTGTAAAGACACGCGAACGTATGGTACAAGTAAAATAGTCAATTGCATCGGACATTATTTGAAAATGTCCTCAACAGGTCTACCATAAAATTTTGAAAGCTTTACTGAGGCCTTTAATGTTGTAAGCGAGACAGCCCTTTCCATAATCCTAAATGGTAGGTCTATAAGCCATCACACATAACCGATGACACTATTGCTGTAGTTACACCGTGCGTCATACTTCCTACATTACCAACAAGTCTCTGCCAAGTTAAGGCCAAGGGTAGCACAGTCATCAAATCGCCGCGATTAGCTGTGCAAGACTGCGCCAGTTATGCGTTGCAGGAAACAATACCTTGGTTCGAATCCCTGATTTGTCCTTGTTTGTCAGTATAAAACCCGTGCCCGAGGGATTGTCCTCCCGCATGAATCTGACATGTCGTGATATAACTGAAAAACTATTCAATGCAGCGTTTACCCCAAACAACTCACTAACTGTCATTTGATTGATATCAACGTTTTTCCCTGTGTTACAGAACTTGGACCCAAAGGAGTTAGAGTTAATTCTATCAAGTATGTATAAATTTTGGTCATGTGTCTATTTAATTAAGACACTTTTTTCTCAAAGTAAACCATCTGCTTTTCCTTTCGACAACAGTCCAGGGTTTGTGCCGACGGACATCTTTCGGAGAAGCAACCTTGACGAGGCGTCGGGAGGGTACGAGCCAGATGAGGTGGGTAATATTTTCTAGAATGTAGGCGTACGTACGTTCGTTCACGCATGGTGTCCCGTGCGCCATGGACCTATTCCATGCAACACCAAGCTGATCTCTTATAATAATAACATATGAATATATACACATTATTCTCTATCCATTCAGTTGTATTTTAACAAGCTGATAGACAACATCAAATTCACGCCATTCCTTTCCTTCATTAAATTTGTCCTCTGTACTTTAAGCGAAGCCAAATGAGTGGCCTTTAGCTGTGATTTAAGTCTTGTACTGCGGCTCCTGCCAAACACAATAACGATACAGGACGAATACTGTGTAGTATTCACCTTCTCTAGAATTAAAATTGTGTCCCAAAATACAATTGTATGGTGATGCACATGAGTGAGTGAGTGAGTGAGTGAGTGAGTGAGTATGGTTTAACGCCGCTTTTAGCAATATTCCAGCAATATCGCGGCGGGGGACACCAGAAATGGGCTTCACACATTGTACCCATGTCGGGAATCGAACCCGGGTCTTCGGCGTGACGAGCGAACGCTTTAACCACTAGGCTACCCAACAGCCCCTGATGCACATGAAGTAATATCCTGACTGCGTTTTGTACTGTGGAAGTTCTGTTTCTTCGTGTGCTCATTACCGTCGTACTGAGCAATATTCTCGCTATACGAAGGCGGCCTGAACAAAAATCGAATCTAGACCAGATAAACCAGTGATTGATATTATGAGCATTGTCCCAATCCACGGGTTACGATGACCTCCATTCAACCACTTCAACAACATAGGTTGCTAGGGACCAGTTCAAACCCGCAGCTATTGGCACAGGTAGGCTATATATCGCACATGAGACATGGACCACTCAGTTTGTATTTCTATCACAGATGACAAAGGAACTGACTGCGGCCACGCCCCTTCGACGGCCAGGCACCCCTGAACAGATTGGTCAGGTAGCAGCGTTCCTGGCTTCAGACATGGCAGCCTTCGTCACAGGAGAGATTCTCTTCGCTGATGGTGGCTGGAGACTGTGACCTACTTACATACATGGATGACGACGACGACGACGATGATGATGATGATGATGACAGTCCATTTGTATTACACTTTGCATGTTCGATATCATGCTCATAGTACCGTTGCACATATATTCACTTCAATGCTGATTAAAGGTTCTGATCATTTTCATCTATGTCGACCTCTTTACTTCGAGTCCTTCTGATGACAAGGTTCTTTTCTTGGTATTGCGACCAGATACAAACTGGGCACACAGGTTTCTTACGTTTATAACTCCATAAACGCAAAATATTATGAAAGTCAATTCCTAATTGACTTTCAGTTATCATGGAACCCTTAGGGTTTCTAGGTAAGAATATAGGTCCCAATCTGCTTATGCTGGTCGTAATACTAAACGGATCGGGTGGTCATGTTCTGTGTCTTGGTTGAGTGTGTCATCATACCCCGACGGTGGTTATCATTGAGCGCGATATTAATCACTGGAATGGCTGGTCCTTATGACTTTATGACTTTAACATAGCCAGCAACGAAGTAAGTGAATGTTGCCGCACCATGCTAAGTAGCCAATGTCCATGCCGCATGTTAGAGTCCTACCTTACTGAATCATCTCGTCCGATTATTTGCAGACCGTTGTCATTTCGCTGGAAAATATAGCGTGTGACGTTAGACACAAACTGAGAAACAAATTATTGATCATGGTGTAAGTAAGAAGACATCATCAATGCGTAACCATAATTAACCCATGAAGATCCGAATCCGAAGTTAGAATTGATCTCCAGCAACCCATGTTTGTCGTAAGAGACGACTAAGGGCATCGGGAGGTCAGGCTCGCTGACTTGCTTAACGCATGTCATCGAATCCAAATTGGGTAGATCGATTTCCTTGAAGCCGATAACTGAATTGTCTTGAGTATTTACAGACTGCTGTCATATAGCTGGAATAGTGCGTTCGGCGTTATACAATGAACAAACAAATATACCTCTTTTAGTTTGTTCATTATGAATTGGTTTCATTTCATTTTCTATTCATAAATAGACCAGCCCATGCTCTTTGTCAAGTATTTGTTAGGTTCAGTATAAAAGGTTTGCTAGACAAACTTGAATTGTGTTAATATTAGTATATCGACAAGCCAGTGTGCATAACACATATATTGAACACAACTGAACATAAATAATCATACTTTGCTAACCATTACAATAAGCAAAATTTAGCAACTGCCTAGGAAAATGTAGCACGATAAAATTTTATGTGGAGTGGTCCCGTACCCTCATCAAAGAACAGGAACGACAACAAGCAGGCCACGCATTCGTGCCAAAACCAAAAAGGAGATCAAGAATAAGATATTTCCTCGATATAGGATGGTATCTTGATAAATATAAATGTCATACATCACGATCCCGTGACATCACATAAGTAATAAAACTTCCATGAAAGAATTCTCTGGTCCTTGGTCAGGGCCACGATTGGGTGATCCAGGACGACCGTCTATATTACATGCATCATCATGCATCAAGAATATGAATCATGCATACAGGTCATGTCACTCGTCACACAAAGTAACCGGCCTGACTTCATGCATACATGAGAGATTACACACACATGTTTAACGAGGCAAGGCCGTTTTCGAAGCTGATCATGTATTAAGCAGTCAAATGTAGGGGACCCAAGGCTTGGCGGGGAGGCTTTCTACTTGTGTCGAGTGTTGGTGTATTTGATATCAGAAGACATTCGGGTGAGATTGTATGTATTATCCAATATTGTTCTCAATTATTTAGGGAAAAACATTTGACATTTTTCATGATCGTTGTGTCATTTGAGACCAAGTTCAAATTATAGACGCGGATCACGCGAAATGTGTTTATAAATTTAAAACACCAACGCCAGAGGGTAATCAGTCCCGATTATCCGCTAAAACAAACTCCATTGTGTGTGTGTGTGTGTGTGTGTGGGGGGGGGGGGTTGAGGGTGAAAATTATGTGCATGGACGACCGTAAATCATGATGACACCAGGGCCCGCTTGCACAATGCGATCTTAACCCTAAGACTATTGTCTTAGCGCTAAGATTGCTCTGTGCAAGTGGGCCCTGGTGCCCATGAAAAGGGCAAGCGTGCACTTCTCTAATCCGACTGATACGTTTGCGGGCTAGATATTGAGTGAGTGAGTATTGTTTTACGCCAATTTTAGCAATATTCCAGCGGGGAACACCAGAAATAGGCTTCACACATTGTACCCATGTGGGAAATAGAACCCGGGTCTTCGGCGTCGCGCGAACGCTTTAACCACTAGGCTACCCCACCGCCCCGCCAAGACATTGTGTGCCAGTGCTGATACGCCAATTGAAGCGTGAATTAGGCAATTAAATATAGATAAAATAATGATTTGGTGAATTCAACAGATATTGTCCAAAGTCTCCCGTCCCTATGACGCGAAGACTGACTCGTGGTGGGGAGGGTTAGTGATATCCCACGTCAACTTATCGGTGCAAATACTCTGATATTTACTCAATATGCACATATCACTTTTCAGTGTTGATTGGCTTATTGTGAACCCTGAACTTTACTGGGCTACTTTCGTAACATTCATTCGTTCATAATTCGATCAAGGACACCGTTTAACCTGGATAAAAGTGAAAATGCAACCAAACAAAGAAAAACAAACTAAATTACCTTAATTACCAATTTTATTATCTAATGCCTCTAGCACTTTAGCAGAAAACCAATATCATATTTTAAATATGCATATGCAGCTGATCACCTATGTCGCTGAATGAACGTGTAGCAGTTCACAAGGTTCAGGATGACCGAGGTATTTGGGACGAAGCTACATAGTAGGACTGTTTCCCCTCAACACATATTACCAGTTACAAAACTACAAGGTTAGAAACCAATTTCTTCCCTAAACTGTTCTGGAGATCACTGAAGAGCAACACGTGCTGTTCACTGCCGTAATGGTGGTCGCAGCCGGAAAGCCAGCTAGCGCCGAGCTCAAGATACTTAGTTGAAATTTCAATATACAAAGTTGAAATACCAAGCTGAATTTTTATAGTTAACACGTCCCATTTTAATTCTGGAAACCCAAAAGTCCAAAAACTCTACGGTCTTTGCCCAGTCTCGGTCAAAGGTATTTACAAAATTAAGCATGCTGTTTTCATGGGAACATACCAAGGAAGTAAAAATGAAAACAAAATTGTTCAAAAACTCATTATTTACACTATGTCCCATTCGACAGTCTACAACACACGAATAACTGTCAAACAAGTTTTGGTACCCCTTGTGTTAAGGCAAGTTATTTAGTTCAATAAATTTGTACTAAAATCCTTTTCAATTTGTTTTCACCATTTTCCCTATTCCATTCCATGCATGTTTATTTTGCTACATCTTATTGCTCATGTTCGCAAGTGTTATAAACACTTTAATGTTTCTCCTTCCTAATCTAACGTTAAAACATTTCAGGTCATTACCATCATCTAATACACAAGAGATGATACCAAGACATATTCGGTTTTATGGTCTACGCGGTCTTACAATTGATTTTATTAGTCTTTAAATCTCATGTCTAGTACATATTTTCAAAAACAGGGCTGTTAGCTGATATAAGGAATGAAACATCCAGTTGAATTCCCAGTTGACGTACTTACTTTAAAAAAAATCAAATATGAGGACTGTATACGACATACGTTAGTCTCTTAACGACGTTTCTACCATTAATATTTTGAATAAGCCGTTAATATGCCAGTTGTGACAGGGATGATGGTATGGTAGCTGTAGCAGACAGATTGACAGTCGTTGTTACGTGCGTCACTAGCTAGGTAATTAGTACGGCATTGACCTTGTTGATTGTTACTATACTTAATTCAAACTCCTTCCACACTGACACCGCATCAAATATATTTGTGTACCGATTACATAACTCTTACGGACAGGGTGGGGTGGTAGTTCATCGGACGACACTGTGTATATTAAGCGGGTCCTTTGATATCTCCTCCAAACATACTTTTATTGAATGACCCATTTAACGATGATACACATCTCGTTGAATATATCAAGGCACTAATTCATCTTTCATAAACTTTTTTTTGTCTTTGTGCTTAATATATCCACATATCAACGAAAATATGTAATACATGTATCCACACAAAAAATATACATATACAGGCTAGGTATTTGCCCACAGCAACTGTTTATTTACGCGTGGTGTGGTAGATCGTAAGCGACCGAGAGCAGGTATTGCAGAATCACCTGTAAATAATGCCGACACTGTATAAGATACAACGTACTAATGAGAATGTGAGAATTATCAGAAGAAGGCTGTTTTTTTCTGAACTGTTACCATTTTCTTACCAAAAGTGACAATGCATTTAAAAGTTGCTTTAGTGTCATAATATTCACTCAAGTTTTCCTCAGTTGCCTGTAAACATAATTCCCATTTGTCAGTTCAACACCGCATATAATTAAATAGTTATTTCGAGATTTCGTTAGAATGTGAGATATTCAGCCAGACGTTATGCAATGAAAGACGAATCGGGTTTTTTCCCCATTTAAATACGCGCACGTGTACCTGTATATTGCATACCTAGTGTCACTTAATTTCCCAGTGTGATGTATCAACGAGACATAAATGGGAAATGAAAAAGAAACTAACTAAACTTTAATTCGTTGGAAAATAACGCCAATGAATTGTTGTACACGCGCATGAATTCGTATGATAAACTGTCAAAACCTTTTGAGAGGTAAGGCCGGGTTCATTAAAGATCGTTGCAATATGTAAAAAAGGTGAAATTTGTAAAACTTCTGTAAAGGAAACCTCTAACCTAAGGCCCTTTTTAAATAGTAATGTAATGATATAATATAAAGTATATTTCACATGATACAGTATACTTTGTACACAAGTAGTTAATTCTTTAAAGGGACTGACGAAAACATGGGCGAAATATTTTAATAACGCCATAAATTAGTTGAAGTAAGTTTGAATGAGTTGAATCATGTGTCATGCTTATGACACCTTTATGTATTTGCGAAACTAAAACTGTTGAGCAAGGGAAAATATTCTCGCCCATGGGCGAAATATTTCAATATCGCTATAAAATCATTGAATTAAGTTAAAATGAGTTGAATTTTGTGTCATGATACTTGAAAGATATACATATATGTATTTGCGAAAAAAAACATGAGTTTTGAGTAAAGGAAAATATTCTCGCCCATGGGCCAAACCTTTTTCTCGCCCATGGGCGAAATATTTCAATATCGCTATAAAATCGTTGAATTAAGTTAAAATGAGTTTAATTTTGTGTCATGATACTTGAAAGAAATACATTTATGCATTTGCGAAACAAAAACATGAGTTTTATGTAAGGGAACATATGTGTCTCGGGCTGATATGTGTGTCTCGGGCTGATATGTGTGTCTCAGGCTGATATGTGTTTCTCGGGCTGATATGTGTGTCTCGGGCTGATATGTGTGTCTCAGGCTGATATGTGTTTCTCGGGCTGATATGTGTGTCTCGGGCTGATATGTGTGTCTCGGGTTTATATGTGTGTCTCGGGTTGATATGTGTGTCTCGGGTTGATATGGCGTATGATATGAAAAATGCCATATGATAACCTTATTAACATATACCATAACATAAAATGTTAAATGTATCTATTTGCAAAGGACTACAAAAGATTTTCCCCTTGTTTGGAAGTTATTGCCACAGTAAAGCAAGCTGAACAGACGCGCAGACGACGCACTAAGGGACGTAACTCTAATTCCTTACCACCCGGGCTGATATCGTTCGCCCATTGACAAGCCATAAAGGGTTTGGTTTTTACACCCCCTGTGATATGACTGTCTCCATATCGGCTCTATCGCACATGAAAAATGACTCATATCATTGAAGATACATTAAAGGTCGTTATTTAATGCCACGACTGTTTGCAATGTTTTGTTTGTTTGCTTGTTTCTTGTTTAACGCCGCACTCAGCAATATTCAAGCAATATGACGGCGGTCTGTAAATAATCGAACCTGGACCAGACAATCCAGTGATTGATATCATGATCCTCGATCCACGCAACTGGAATACGATGACATATATCAACCAATCTCAGCGAGCCTGACCACCCGATCCCGTTAGTCGCCTCTTACGACAAGCACGAGGCAAGGGAATAAATATGAAAGTCCAGTTTCCACCCTTGCCGAACTTGGCTGGAATTCCTGGGCTCGATCGTTGCGCCACCAGTGGTTATTATGAGTTATGTCCCTTCTGAGCCTTTCCTATGGACCAATCCGATTCCTTCACTTGCATTTTTTTCAAACAAAATGACGGCGCCTAGTCCAGACGATCTGATCGATAATCAAGATCTATATTGTGATAAAACGGGTCTAACATCGCGAAGAGCATCAAATCACGCGAGCCAATTGATTAAAAACATGAAAAGGTTTGGAAAATATCTGTTGACAACGAGTTGGCGGTGCACATGCTTTGCAAATCCTGCAATTGACCGAAATCTGCATGACAGTATACGAACCGGATTTCGATCTCGTTACGAGATTTCGATTTGAGTATGCATAGACTTGTTAGTCCAGCCAAAATGTAACTCCATAATACCAGCCTAGTTCGGCAAGGGTGGAAACTGGACTTTTAAAGTCAGTTAACTCTCTTGCCTCGGGAAGATGGGTTTTAGCAATAATACAACCCCACTCTGCTGCCTCATCGCCTAGCATTATCAGATTTCGCTCAAACATATATAAGTGATTAGGTTATTGAGTTGGGCTTCACGTGTTTCAGGGCAATATTTCAGCAATATACTGTCTAGACTTGGCAGATCGTCGTGCTCCAGTATGACCGTACACAAGGATAAAAAATTCAGGACTGCAACATAACTGAACATGAGGGGAATGGAGGGGGCTCAATCCTAATTTTGGGTGTGATCAGTAGAGCTGGAAGAACCGATCTTCATGTCCAATAGCGGGGCACGATGACAGGTGTGCGTTTTGGGGATGACATTATGGATGTGGTGCAATCGGACAGGACTTCGTGCCATGGACGATAATGCACGACCTCATCGTGCCAGATTCGTTGATGTCTACTTAGAGCAGGAGACCATTGTCCACATGGAGTGGTCAGCCCGGTCAACTCTATCGAACACATGTATAGTGAGGTGCAGATCGCCCTCTCACGACATCCTGTCCTTTCGGCAACTCAATAGCTTTTACTGACGAGTGGAACAATCTTCCTTTGCCATCCAAACATTTATTGCGAGCAAGCGACGACGACAGGCTGTGATCATCACGTGGATCACATACGCGATACTGAGAGGTGTTTTTGTGGACAATGAATTTGCTTTCGTGATGATTTGACTTTTCAGTTTTGGTCAGATACTCTCATTTTAACGGGTGGTCTGACTAATTATAAGTCACATGTTGTTTGTTGGCATTGTGTGGCACATGGACGTTTATTCATTAAACATGTCTTCATGCAATATTGTCTTTGGTTATTCAACGGATGCACACAATTACGAATTACCCTTTGAAGTGGTGATCATTTGCAAACTTTGAGTTTGATAAGTTAGGCGTCAATTAGATACGGTTAAAGCAATACAAAGAATTCGAACATTACACGGAGCTGGAGCTGTACCGTTACGCATCTCCCCTAGCATACCGCTACATTTGAAGCACAAGCCAGTCGCCAAGATTGTGTTCATAAAAAAAATGCGCAACCGATTCGTAAAATTATCTATCAACTAGGTATTGTAGGCCACATCTGTGACCAAGAGTTGTCTCTTTACCTGTGTTTCCTTTTCTTCAGGCATTAATATATTCACAGTGTATATGCATCATGGCTGTCAACGTTCCTGGATTAATCTCTGTTGCGGCGTTCTACCTCCTCATCCTTATTATCGGCATCTACGCCGGAAGGAAGAGCACCAAGTCAAAGAGTCTGACAGAGCTCTTTCTCGCAGACAGAAACATAGGAACTGCGGTGTCTCTCTTCACCATCACAGGTAACATGGGCAATGTGCTGTCTCTCTTTACTATCAAGGTAACATTGTCACTGTGCTGTCTCTCTTTACTATCAAGGTAAAATAAGCAGTGTGCTGTCTCTCTTTACGATTAAGGTAACATGGGCAGTGTGCTGTCTCCCTTTTACTATCAAGGTAACAGGGTCACTATGCTGTCTCTCTTTACTATCAAGGTAACATAGGCACTGTGCTGTCTCTCTTTACTATCAAGGTAACATTGTCACTGTGCTGTCTCTCTTTACTATCGGGGTAACCTGGGCAGTGTGCTGTCTCTCTTTATTATCAAGGTAACATTGGCATTTTGGTCGCTCTCTTTATTATCACAGGTAACATGGACACTGTGCTGTCTATCTTAAGTATCACAGGTAACATGGGAAGTTTGCTGTCTCTCTTTACTATCAAGATAACATGGACAGTGTGCTGTCTCTCTTTTCTATCAAGATAACATGGGCACTGTACTGTCTCTCTTTACTATCAAGGAAACATTGGCATTGTGGTGGCTCTCTTTATTATCACAGGTAAAATAGGCACTGTGATGTCTCTCTATATTATCACAGGTAACATAGGCACTGCGATGTCTCTCTATATTATCACAGGTAACATAGGCACTGCGATGTCTCTCTTCACTATAACAGGTAACATAGGCACTGAGGGGTCCTATTATCATAGGTATCACAGACACTGGTGTCTCTCTTTATTTTTATTATAACAGGTAATATAGGCACTGTGATGTCTCTCTTTACAACAACAGGTAACAAAGGCACTGTGATGTCTCTCTTTACAACAACAGGTAACAAAGGCACTGTGATGTCTCTCTTTACCATAACAGGTAACATGGGCACTGTGATGTCTCTCTTTACTATAACAGGTAACATAGGCACGGTGATGTCTCTCTTTACCATAACAGGTAACATGGGCACTGTGATGTCTCTCTTTACTATAACAGGTAACATAGGCACGGTGATGTCTCTCTTTACTATAACAGGTAACATAGGCACTGTGATGTCTCTCTTTACTATAATAGGTAACATAGGCACTGTGATGTCTCTCTTTACTATAATAGGTAACATAGGCACTGTGATGTCTCTCTTTACTATAACAGGTAACATAGGCACTGTGATGTCTCTCTTTACTATAATAGGTAACATAGGCACTGTGATGTCTCTCTTTACCATAACAGGTAACATAGGCACTGTGATGTCTCTCTTTACTATAATAGGTAACATAGGCACTGTGATGTCTCTCTTTACTATAATAGGTAACATAGGCACTGTGATGTCTCTCTTTACTATAACAGGTAACATAGGCACTGTGATGTCTCTCTTTACTATAATAGGTAACATAGGCACTGTGATGTCTCTCTTTACCATAACAGGTAACATAGGCACTGTGATGTCTCTCTTTACTATAATAGGTAACATAGGCACTGTGATGTCTCTCTTTACTATAATAGGTAACATAGGCACTGTGATGTCTCTCTTTACTATAATAGGTAACATAGGCACTTTACCAGAGAAGGTAACACGAGCAAGTACCTTTATTATAACAGGTGGACTAACGTATGATTTGTTTGTTTATTTGTTGTTTAACGCCACACGCAGCAACATTCAAACTATATGACGACGATCTGTAAATAATCGAGTCTGTACCAGACAATTCAGTGATTGATATCATGAGCATCGATCCACGCAATTGGGATCGATGACATGCATCAACCAAGTCAGCGAGCCTGACCACCCAATCCCGTTAGTCGCCTCTTACGACAAGCATAGACGCCTTGTACGGAAAGCATGGGTTGCTAAAGACCTATTCTACCCCGGAACCTTCACGGGTCACCCAACGTATGAACCTTTATATACTCACACGCAAAAGAAACGCAAGTCGAGTATGCAGTATACATGATATTTATTTTCAACAGTAAAGACAAGAAATACTGATAGGGCAAGATTGACAAAAATTTGACTGAAGACAGTTTAATGGATTAAAAGGCAGATGACATAATTGTTTTTGTTTTCAAATGTAAAAGGCTTACACAGTTTCGGGTCAATACCCAAAATGTCGGTCAATACCTGGTGTGACCACCATTAGCATTGATCACTGCCACACATCTCCTGTACATTGAGTGGATCAGACGATTTGTGAAGGCCCTAGGGATCCCCCTGCACACATCCAGAGCAGCTGTGCGTAGTTCATCGGCAGTTGTAGGGACTGGGGGCACATTGTGCGGACGCCTTTGAACCTCATCCCACAAGTGATCGATGGGGTTCATATCTGGGCTGAGGGCTGGCCACGGCAGAACACGGATGTTGTGTTGTTGCAGAAAGGCCATGGTAGCACTGGCAACATGGGGACGAGCGTTGTCCTGCTGGAAAATGTGTTGTTGATGTTGTGCAAAAAATGGAACAAAGTGGGGTCTGATCACTTGGTCGATATACCGCTGAGCAGTGACGCCGTGTCCCCGACCTTGACCAACATTCAGAAAGCACATGGGTCCAAGTCTCTCATTAAGTCCAATCCCTGCCCATATCATGACGCTAGGTCCCCCCATGGATCCCTTTCCACAACGTTTCTGTCAGCAAAACGATCACCTCGACGCCGCCAAATTCTGACTCTTCCGTCTGCATGGGAGACACAAAAGCGATTTTCATCAGAGAAGATGACACACCTCCACTGACGATGACGCCAATTGTGAAAACCCTGTGCCCACTGAAGTCGTGCTTGTCGATGGAGAACAGGACGACGTGCTGGTCGGCGACATCAGAGGTTGTTGGAACAGAGACGTCGGATCACAGTGTCCCGGCTAATGTGTCGTTTATGTGTTCCTATGGTCTGTCGAGCACTTTCACTTGCAGTTAGGAACGGATGTCGCTGGTGTTGACGGGTAATCTGCCGATCTTGTCGAGGTGTGGTGAACCTAGGTCGACCGCTCCGAGGAATGTCATCTGTGGTCTGTGTAGCATTATATCGATGCAGGAGACGGTAAATTTGTGGTTATGTTAACGTTGAAATGACGGGCAACATCTGGGACAGACTCTACAGCTTCCAAACGTCTCTGAATTTGAGTAAGGCGTGGCATTGTTGACCAAGGAGTGGTAGGTCCAAGAATCGGCCATTGTTTTATACCCACTACAGTTCGTGACAGTTCGTGCATTTTCGATTTCGCGAGAAATGGGTGCATGATACCCACATATTCATTGAAATGGTGCGTTTTGGCGATTCGTTTTTTATGTTGCGTTTTTACTCGGGGCTTCCAAAATGCAACCAAAAATATTGATAACACCACTAGGCTTCACTACATGCTAAAACTCGTATCAATTTATGTTTCCGTGTTTGTTACCTATTTGCTTAAAACCACTTACGTTTCGTTTGCGTGTGAGTATATATTCTTGTTGACATGATTTGTGTTTCGATGTAACTTCAGCTACCTGGGTCGGAGGTGGGTACATCAACGGCACTGCTGAGATAATATCACTGCAGGGATTAGCATGGACCCAGGCTCCATTCGGGTATTCAGCCTCTCTTATGATCTGTAAGTATGTACACGAACGGGCCTATGCAAATTTGTAGAGTGTTTGACAATGAAACAATTTGTTAGGTCACCACCGAGATGGTTTTGTCCCGTCATTCAAGCGTTGGCTCGTCACCCCTCAAACATTGGCTCCATTCACCAGATTGGTATTCTCTGCAAAGAAGTGTGGGATCATGAAATATGAATGTTATTATCGGTCGTCATTAAAAGATGAGCTTTGAAAAAGGATTGGCCGAAATAGAACCGTTCGGAACCAAAACCTAACGCCCCAACACACCCAAAACATTGCACGAGGACCCTGCAGTTTCTCCCTGTACGTGGGTAGTTGGTATTTGTTTATTACTTCGATAAAAGGTCGGCAAATCGCCATAAGTATTACTGATTTTCATTATCCAGAGAGACACGCAAGCTCCCTCCTCTTGCTTCAATGCAGTATCTTGGATCAGATTGGGAATGCATTGTCTGCAACGTGATGAATACCTCAGAGCTAGTCGCATGCTTCAAACTGGTAGAATTCAGCGATATCGAGCCAGTCTGTTCAATGTGTCTTAGTCTGTGATTTGCAGACATTGGAACAGGTTTCTGCAGACACAAATTCTAAATGATCGGCCCCGCACAGTGCGCCCAAGGTTAACAACGTAAGTCCAGAAACAATTAAACAGAAACAAATTGCTGTACAGTTTCTGGCCGGACGATTAGAAACCGTTATCATGTCGACACATTTTAACCAGGCGCCAATGGTGTTTTAGGGCGTAGAAACTGGGGTAATTGCCGATGGTCTCGAGTGAACCTTTTGGACGAGTCCAGAACTCCATATTCAATCTGGACTTTTTGGAGAATGGGCGTAGACGTGCCTTCATGCGGTCTTCGTAAGGCAATATACAGATTAGGGGATGGGTCTGTAATGATCGAGGGCGGGATCACTGCATAATCATAGTCAAAGTTCAAGGGCATTTGTCATGGCTATAGGTTAGCATCCCTGAAGCGCCATTGTGACTAGAACATGTCCCTTGACGTTGGTTACAGAATTTTGATAATAGAACTGTCTGTTCTCTCCTTAACATATTCTGCCAACTTAATTGTCTGTTCGGTTCTTCCCTATTGGTGACACATGCTGACTGTTTTCGAGCGGCTGCTTAGCCAGTAGCTATCGACTTGGTGTTCATATGCACAAGCAACCGCTGGTTATCCTGTGGATTAACCACCATCCAGCAAGTTATATTAAGAACACGGTGGTCATTAGTTTGGATCTATTATAAATGTTTCCAAAATGTGTTCATTCGCTAAGTTTGAGATGTAATATCACACAAAAACAGCTTGAGTTATATAATAAATGAAACTTTTAACAATGGATGTCAAATACCCTGTTTGTCTAATATCGTGACTTGCTTACAACTGATATTTGAACTTATTTGAATTATTAGGCGTTCCGCTGGGTTAAATGTCTAAGGGCTGTGTCAGCTCTGATTTTGAGTTATGATGCTCTTCTACCAATTCTAGCCACGCCACTCGATTAATTAAAGAGGGTACTTAACAACCACTATTAAATCATGATAGCCTACGGAGATACCATGCAACAGTTTAACATGAATACCCCACACCTCGACACACAGACCTCCAAGAGGATTATCAATTACCATGTATCATTAGTGTACTCATTTATCAATATGTCTATCAGTGTCAGTGTATATATGTATCACATTGTCACTTACTATGTATTAGTATGTTGGAGTTAAAACAAGGTAATTTGGCCAAGAAGTTTTACTTAAGCTTCAGGTATATCGGTGATCTGATATCGTTAAATAACCATGAAATAGCCAATTCCCTTCCACCAATTCACCCACCTGAACTAGAAACAAAGGAGACCAGTAAGACCACCTCATCTGTTGCATATTTAGATCTATATATAAAGCTCTCCACAAGACTGTATGACAAGAGGGATGACTTCAACGTTCCAAATAGTCAACATTCCCTTCATGTCGATCAATATTCCTGCAGCTCCAGCCTTTGGTGTTTACATTTCGCAACTTTTGAGATACAAGCGAGCATTCAGTTCTACCAAGATTTCAAAGAGCCTCACACGACTCTTGGTCAGTAGTTGTTTGATAAAAATTACAACATTCAAGGCCTCAGTGAAGCTTTCCAAGCGTTTTATGGTAGACATGTGGAGGACAAATTTGACACATAAGTAACAAAAATGTTGTCCGATGCAATTCCCTACATTGTCTTGTACCATATATTTCAGGTGAACAATTCACTTGCCTTTGCATGTTTTTGTGATAGTGGTACTGGTAGGGTGGGATACGCTCACCTTTTCGCGAACACCTGGTACAATTACTATTTGATAGTGATTAAAAAAATTGTGAATATGAACCGGGATTTGTCTCTTTTGTATATCTATGTATCAGTACATCTACGCCCCGGGCGGTGATACTCTATTTACTGGTAGTACTGTATCATGTATCCACGTATTGTTGTGTTTAGGTGGCTACTTCTTCTGCCCTAAGATGAGACGTGCCAAATACGTGACGATGTTTGATCCCTTCCAGGACAGATACGGCACACGTGTCGGTGCACTCATGTGCATTCCACAGTTCATTGCAGATCTCTTATGGACAGCAGCCATTCTCTCAGCGCTGGGTAAGTCAAGCATTCCACAGACCAGTGCCGGTGTATGTTTTCCCTCAAATCAACACTAAACCGACCATAGAATAATGTGTAGATATGCTAAGTATTCAAGTGATCAGGAGTGACAATTTAGCTCGTTTTAGGAGGGAAGGCCGATGTGACTGACGCTGGTTCTAGATGTTTACCACTTTGGTGAAGCGAGCTTGTGCAAAATTAATTGGTAATATCAACTCGTTATGGGACACGGGGGGTAGTCGTCTCAGGCGCCACAACTCGCTGTGCAGAGTTGCGTCCCTTGGGCACGCCAGAAACCTTTGATTGTGGGTCGAATTCTGGTTTGACACGATTGTGTTTGTACGTCAGTAAGCACCATACCCGTGCTCCTGGGTTTCACCAAAGTGGTGCAGGTCTTGACAAACCAACAAACATCACCAGATTTGAACTCACAATCATATGTTTCTGGTGTGCCAAAGGGATGCAACTCTATGTAGCGAATTGTGTCGCCATAGACGGATAGGGCAACCCGTCACCCCTCTCCAGAATAGAAACATCATTACTTATCTACAATCCTGGATCTGGATGAGACAATGTACATCGATATCATTGTATCCGTAGTCATCGCCGTCCTTTTGTCAATGAGCGCGAGCATGAGACTAACAGTCAAAAGTTGGAAGCACAAGCAGCAAGAATCTGGTATTTGAACCTCAGCGAATTGTGGCGCCTTAGACCTCCGTGCCACCTGTGCTGTTGATACCTATTTTGAACATTTGTGTTATATTAATCGCACAGCTCCTGGAGTGCAGACATGTCTTACTCGTTTCAAACATAAATTTTTAATTTTGATCTGCTGAACAGGCGCAACCGTACATATCATCCTGGACCTGGACGAGACCATGTCCATCATTGTGTCTGCAGTCATCGCCGTCCTGTACACCTTTGTGGGTGGACTGTGGTCAGTTGCCTGCACCGACGTTGTCCAGCTCATCTGTCTGGCCGTGGGCCTGGTAAGTGGACATGTGACATGGAGATACATTTTTATCTAGAAACAGTTACCAGGTATCAGGTGACATGGACATACGTGTCGTCTACAAACAGTGACCAGCTAACAGGTGACATGGAGATACATTTGTCTAGAAGCAGTTACCAGGTAGCAGGTGACATGGACATATGTGTCGTCTACAAACAGTGACCAGCCAACAGGTGACATGGAGATACATTTGTCTAGAAGCAGTTACCAGGTAGCAGGTGACATGGACATACGTGTCGTCTACAAACAGTGACCAGCCAACAGGTGACATGGAGATACATTTGTCTAGAAACAGTTACCAGGTAGCAGGTGACATGGAGATACATTTTGTCCAGTAGCAGTGACCAGGCGACAGTTCGTATGTCTAAAATCCCATCCACATGCATATTCTTATTCTTGTCAGTATTTATGCAGGGGATTTTTCCCTTGTTCGTATACCCTTTTCCTGAGCTTGTCCAAAAAAAGACATAGCACACAAGAAGTGTGGACCATATCTATGCATCTTTGAAAAAAGTGGCCTGTTCATGAGAACTGATGTTCACATGAAAAGCGTGCATGTAAATTGGGCTTGTCGTCACATGAATGTTGATATGATAAACTAGGTGTTCACAAAGACATTTAATCTTAACCTCAGAAGCCCGTGATAAACCAACCCCGCTACGACTCATCCTTATGACACATCTTTTATGTTCCGTTAAATGATAAGCCAATTCATCAGTAAAGAATAACAGCTAATCGCCACACGTCCATTGATAATATTGAACCCCCCTGGTCGTACCAGCAATTTTAACGTTCTTAAGTAAGTGTGTTGTAAAGCTCTGTCACTGTGACTGGTGATAAAATGTGATAAAATTATTAAAAAAATCTGTTTGTTGCAACCAAACACCAAAAGATGAAACCCTAGGTCATTTCGGACAAACATACTCATCATGTGTCTTTTTGAGGGCCCTGCTTGTTTGTATGGCGGTCAGAGGCAACATGAGGTCACACAAACCGAATGAAGTTATGCATACACACTTCGAGGCGCCAAATCGGGATATAAATCATAAGAATTGATTTTGGCATGGCAGGATTGCAACTGTGAGGTGTTAGGCAACAGACACACACTTCCATTTTTATGTAAACTGTGCGAAAGGCGGGTGATCTGAGTATTGCAGGACATGCTTACCCTCTTCGCATCATCATCAATGCAATTGAGATGACATGCATCCCCCAAGTCAACGAGACTATCCACACGTTCCCGTTAGTCGCATTTTACGACAAGAATGTGTTGCTGAAGACCAATTCCAACCCGGATCTTATAGGATACCTGTATCATTCAAACACGGACTCGTTTTCACAGCGTCACGTTGCATGACATGTAACATCTCTTGCATTTTCTTACAGATAATAGCTGCTCCATTCGCCATGACTCACCCGTCCGTTGACCTCACCAGTGTTCAGGACAAATGGCAAGGGGAGATAATTCCTGGACAGATAGGAATTTTTATAGATCTCTACTGCATGATCACCCTTGGTGGTACAACGTGGCAGGTGAGTTATTCAAACAGAAGACTGATTAATTTGATCCATTATTAATCCCCGCCACAAAGTCTGGGGCGGGGATATAGGAACAGAGTTTGTCCTTTCATCCGTCCGCCCGTCTTTCCGATTCTCAATGGGGAATCTTTTCCTCAAAAACTATTTAAGTTGAGAAATGAAATTTTACACACTGATGTTACTTGTAACGATCTCAAATATGTTCTTAAAGTTGTGTTTTAAATGTATTTTTACAGAGTTATGGCCTTTTCTCCATGCTTTACAACTTAGTGCATACTGCATGAGGTGAAGGTGAAATTGAGTTTAACGTCGCGTCCAAGATTATTGCACTTATATAGCGACGTGCATGCACGTGTATGTGTGTGTGTGGCTGCTTGTACTAGTCCGGACTGATGCCGATTTATAGTGCTAGCTCACTGAGATACCATGCCGCAGTTTAACATGAATACCCCACTCAGACACAGTATACTGACTCCGAGCCGACCAGTCCTTGTTTTAGCCCCTTAATGCCGAGCGCCAGACAGGGTAACAACAAGTACAATCTTTTAACGTCTTTTTGTATGACGCGGCCCGGGATCGAACCCTGGACCTTCCGCTCTCCGGGCGGACGCTCTACCACAAGACCACGGAGGCGGTCGCATACTGCATGAAAGGGGACAAGTTTTCTCAGAAACTTCTTATTAACATTACTTCTATACAGTGATATTTTTTTCTGTTGTTTTTTATGCCAGAAAGTGCCTAATAAAATAGATGCCCTGTCACATGTACGGCCTGCTATATGTCCTCGCCACTTGAAATATAATCACGAAATATTTTTAACCTCTCTAAGTCACTTTACTGCCAATCTCTACCCGTTGTAAACATGTGATCAAATCTCAATAAATGTTGTTTATGACAAGCAAAATGGATGTTTCTTATAAAGCGCACGTTACAATTTTTGTCATTACTGTCAGTTATATTTATTTTCGCCTAAATGGCTTGTTTTCATTTATTAGCACACAAGCAGTGATCTTGTTAATAATCGCGATATTTCGTTTTTCCATTTGAAGTGCGGAGGACTATAACAAAATACTTAAGCGTATAATACATGGCAAACCTGAAAAGACAACCTTCAGAGTGAGGTGAAAGAGAAATTATTACACTGATACTGCCTTTTGTGAGGAAGGGGTGCATTTTGTGATCGCCATTTTAGGAGGCTTACCAGCGAGCACTTGCGTGTCGGACCCCCGAGCAGGCCAGGTCGTCCACCATGATTGCTGGCATCTTCTGTCTGCTGTTGTCTGTGCCCCCTGCCGTTATTGGAATAGCCGGAGCCGCAGCTGGTATGCTGGTATTTTTCAAAATAATCTACCTGCTTTTCAATACACCTTCATGTCGATAATGAAGCTTTTCAATTCCAGTCAGGAAGATGTTTTCTGAAGCCATCCTGAAAAACCCATTCATGGCAGCTTTGAGGTCCTCGTTGTCATCATAGTGCTTTCTACGAAGGTGTTCTTTCGGTTAAGGAAACAGGTGGAAATCACTTGGTGCCAGGTCTGGCGAGTATGGAGGGCGAGGAAGCTCTTTGAACCCACATTGTCGCACTGCAGAGGTGGGAAAAGAGTCATTGTCATGAAGTAGAAGAACTCCAGCAGTCATCATTCCTAGATGCTTTTCTTTGATAGAATCTCTCAGGCGATGAAGCAAATCAATGTAGTAGTCACCGGTAATCATCTTTTGACTTTCTAAGTAATCAACAAGGATCACACCCTTTTCATCCCAGAATACAGTGGCCATAACTTTCTTCACTGATCTCGAAGACTTGTATTTCTTTGGTGCTGGAGAAGTGGAATGATGCCATTCCAAGGACAATCTCAGTTCTTTTTTTTCTTTAAGAACAGAATTTAGAAACTTGGCACCCAACGAGCAGATATCTTATTCTAATGAATCTAATGATCATGAATATTAGTTTCTAAGCATCCATGACTTAGACCTGTGTCTTCCTTCCTCAAGTTCAGTAATGGTAATACGTCTATCTGACAGTGTATGTTTTCCATCTCCTTGATTGAATCTTGGTTGAGCGTCGTCCAGAGGTCATCATCAATGCTTGTTCTCCGAGCCTTAAACATAGCTGCCTAACTTTTAACAGTGGAATGGCTAGGGCACTTATCCCCATATACTTGTGACATGCGGTTATAAATTTTTTTGGGGGGTACTTTTCTCTAAAGTAAAAAAACTTGATGTCTGCTCGGTACTCGGTTCTTTTCCATTTCTGTGTCCGTTTGGACCCTATCACGTTTCACAACTATTAATCTACCATCGAGCATGCTCTTTCCAAACAATTTCAAAGAGCGACATATTAGTCTTACTCAGAAATTTCTTGATCAAGTTTACAACAATCAAGGCCTCAGTAAAGATTTAAAAAGAAGTTATATGGTAGACACGTGGAGGAAATATCCTAGGTTGACGCATCAGTGACAAAAATTCGGTCCGATGCAATTCCCTATTTTGTCTTGTACACGTGTGTTTTCAGAGGAACAATAGATATGCTTTGCGTGTATTTGTGATGGGTCCCACCGGTGGGGCAGGATACCCTCACATTTTCGCGATCAACTTCGTCACTATTCGATATTGATTCATGAACTCAAGCTCATGTTATGGTCGAAAATGTGCTTTTGGCAGAGATTTTATATAAATATAGAAAGGGTTTTATCTCTTTTATTTTAATTTTCAAACTGTGTATAGTTCCTTTTGCCCCTCAGTTTATAATATCAACAATCGATATTAGATTAACAAGTTTGTGACTGGCAGGCTTTTCCAGAAACAACGACACTTACTCATGGTATGATAGAATAGGATACTATTTATGGTCTCTCTAGATCAGTCGAATTACACATCATTCAATAGATATGGTGGGCTTGGGTCCCCAAGGTTTAACAATCTTATAATAATTAGATTTATTCATACTGCAGATTGGAACGCCACATCCTACACGGGGGAAGTCCCTATCCCCCCAAACCAGATGGGAATGATCCTGCCCCTGTCCCTCCAGTATCTCTGCCCCCTCCCCGTCGCCATCGTTGGTCTGGGTGCCGTCTCCGCTGCGGTCATGTCCTCAACAGACTCCAGCGTTCTCGTCACATCGTCCGTCTTTACCAAGAACATCTACAAGACTCTTATTCGCACACGGGTAAGCTTTAAGGTTCTTGTGTAGGTTACTTACAATAAGATACATGCGCTGTAATTGGAACTGTATATCATTATGGTTAATAAATCATATAGCTGAGTTTCATTGAATTAGGACATGATGAATTGAGCGCATCAATGTTTATATTTGCTATTAAATTCACACAGTGATATGAAACGAGAGTACAACTTGTGGGTACAGAACTATTCATGGTGCAGCCACGCAATTAATAATGAAACAGTTTTATTTTTTTAATATCCAAAAATGTTTTGTTATTATCGTACTCAAGATTTTGGTGTAGGTTTTGGTTGCTGTCGTGTACTCATTTATTTGTTACTCAGTAAAGAGGTAACAGCTAGGTCACACGCCACTGAAGTCCCGGATATGATCTGACTGAGTCGAACAATGAGAAACAGACTTGTCGCATCCCATTATGTATGTAAAGATGTTTGTTGTACTTAATGAATGCTGTTCCAGGCTTCTCCTCGGGAAATGATCTGGGTGATGCGAGTGACCATCATTGTGGCCGGAGCATTAGCCACCATACTGGCCATTGTGGGGAGAAGCGTCTACAGTCTGTTTGTCCTATCCTCGGACCTGATGTACGTCATCCTCTTCCCCCAGTTCGTCAGCGTTCTCTTCACCAACTCCGCCAATGCCTACGGGTCTCTGGTTGGCTTTATCACAGGGTTTGCACTCCGGATATTAGCCGGGGAACCCCTCATCCACCTCCCCACCTGTATACCCTTCCCGTTCTACACGGAGACTGATGGCCAGAGGTTTCCTTACAGGACCCTCATCTGTCTTATCACGTTTGCTGTAATATACAGCGTGTCTCGGTTGGCTGATGTGTTGTTTGACAGGGAAATTCTGCCCTCAAAATACGATGTTTTGAGACGATCGAAAGACATACAGAGGGATGAGGCTGCGGAAGCTGAGGAAATGCTTGACAAGGGAACTGTAATTGACAAGGAACCTATACTTGACAAGGGAAATAACTTCTAGCGAGGCAGATGTGTTTAGTTTAAAGTATCCTAAGGGAGCTTGCAAATCTATTCCACCAAATCACAATAATGCTTTTGGTAATTTCAAACTGTTATCCCCGCAAATTACATTGGAAATACATTTTTTCAGAAATTAATAAAGCAATTTTCTGCAGATTCGCATGTATTAAGCAATATGTTTATAATCATATTATAGTAATCTTCAATTCAAATAGAATAAAAAAAACATCGCGATGATTAATTAACGAAGATAGCTGCAGGTGTGCTAATACTTATCAAGTAAAAACAAGCAATTCCGCCTGTAAGGAATATTACTTGCAGTGACAAATATTGCTAAGTGGTCTTTTCAAGAAATATTCATTTTGCTATTGATAAACATCATCATTGAGTTTTCATCACAATCCGATTATGTCCTGTGATGCGGGTACATGTACTGGGTGGGATATTTCACAAATGTACGAGATCACACCTTTGGTAGGGCTAGAGGGTGGGGGTGGGTTGCTTGTGGGAGGTAGGCTTGCGGCCATTAGGGTTGGGGATCTTACTGATAGATGGGGAGCAAGTTATGATGATATCAATGCCTGCTTGGTGCTTAAGTAATCTGCTAATATGAAGAGCATATGATCCTGATGTGGGCGGACTCTGGTCGGTTTGTGTTTGCTCTGGAGTATGGTGGAGTCCTCTTGACTGTTGAGATTTGTGAAAACATGCTGAAGATGTTCATGGTCAAGGTCACGGTTGCTAGAGCAGATGTGGATGACTCTCTTGGTGTCAACAATTCACGAGCCATCAAATTCAGTTTGATGCAGTCCAAATCCTCTCAACCGACAAGTCCAAATCCTGTCAACCAACAATGTAGGACTTCACAATCAGAACCAATAGAAATCCGTCGTCACTAACCTCAAATCAATAGTGATCAAGGGTATTACATTTTGTCTGCTTGTGAAGATCTAATCAAGCAACTAACCTTTCTAATTAGCTTCCAATCAGCTTGTCAGAACTTTTTAAATCATTTTAATCGTTACTGTAAACCTGGCTTCGTTACCCGTGTGCTATTTGTTATTCTTACTGTACACGTGGCTACAGACAATTATGTGTGTGCTACTTCTTATTTATTACCTAGTTAATGTTTATCTGCTGTTTATCCCAACTTCTTATGCATATATAACTCTCTTCACTTGGTTGCAGACCAAGAAATTACACCAAAGCGTCGCCATATGCAATAACCCAGAAGTTGTTATCCATAAATTGTATGTTTACTTGTTTTCTTATTCAGTCTAATTTCACTCCTGCGAGAGAAATATGTGACAGAAAACTGATAACAAAGAGGGGGATGTGTGTTGCACAATTTTTTAGGTACAAATGAGCACGCACTTTCTACCAAGATTTCAAAGACGAACGAGGAGGTGTTACACCCCTCTGATTTGGGGTGCTAAAAAGATATAAAAAACCCAAGAAAAACTTGCATTTCGTTTCTGCATTCAACATTGCGTCACAGACAGACGTTCCATGACGTCATCACATCATATGACAGGTGAACACAAACAAATGGCAGTGGAACAGTCCTCTGTCGCTAGTAAGATACATAGTACAAAGTCTATAAGCTCAGCAGTAAAGGCCAAATATTGAAATAGACCACACTGAAACCGCTGTGGACAGGTTTATATTATTTCTACTTATTCTATCATAAGCCATTATTGAATATCATGTCACAAGACTAGCTAAAAACTAATTTACAACACAGCATACCAATGAGTGTCCAAAAATGAAAACATTAAAGTGGACATAACACTGAATTGTGCAATTCTTCTATACGACTAGCACTTACCATCATCATTGAAACAGACTATGCTGAGTTTCTTGTCTTTGTTTGTTTGTTGTTTAACGCCGCATTCCAGCTATATGACGGCGGTCTGTAAATAATCGAGTCTGGACCTGTCAATCAAGTGATGGACATCATGAGCATCGATCTAGTGAGTGAGTGAGTTTATGTTTTACGTCACATCGGCAATATTTCAGCCATATCGTGACGAGATGTTATACATCATTAAGACATATATTTACTAAATAAAAACCTGTCTTTGATGGACAGTCAAATAACTAGAATATCACAGAAGAATATTTAAAACTAGCATACAACCACGAAATGATACCACTATTTGGAACAATACATTATAAAAAAGGGCTATAGATCGCCAGCAACTGAAGGTAGATCACCATACTAGCTATAGGGCCATGGGAACTAACAGCCTTCAGTGGCTGTCGATTGTACGCAATTTAGCCATCAGTTAAGAGAAACAAATGTACTACGTTTAAAAACTGTGGTTGGAATAAACGTTCTTTCAGGACTATCAGATGGACAATAATATAACACTACTTCAACCTCCTTTGAGTACACAGCCACTAACCATCTAAGTTACAGATACAACACTACCGATATTATAAAAAATAACTATTTACACAATTCAAAATTTATCAATAAGTTCATTTTCTTTTAAAAATCCTATAATAAAATGACAACTGATACTATTAAAAAGATCCTTAAGAAATGATGATTTAAAATATGTATTCCTTATGATGGCAAAATCAATACAGTCAAGCATGACATGCTTGACCGTGATTCTCTCATCACAATCGATACAAAATTGAGGATCCTTACCTTTCGGTATATGTTCATGTGTGTACCTACTGTGGCCAAAACGACATCGTCGTATTATGACCTCTTCAAATCTTGACTGATAACCAAGTAGGTGTAACCAACAGTTGGTTTTATTTCATATAATTTATTTATACCTAATTTGGTGTCCCACTTCTTTTGCATTAGATCTCGGATATATGATCCAGTCACTCGCTTATAATCAGTGTATGGAATAAGAAGTAGTGTCACAGATTTGTTGAGTGCTGCTTTAGCAGCAGCATCAGCCATTGTGTTACCTTTTATGCCCATATGACTGGGTAACCAACAAAAGACGGTGTCGTATTGGCCAGTTGAAAGATCATTGTAAAGTTCTAAAATATCTAAAATCATTGGATGAGTCGAAGATACATTATTTAGTGACTGAAGACAAGAAAGAGAATCAGAAAAGATGATAAACTGTTTACATGCAGACTGTTGTTGTATATATATCAAGGCTGTGAGAAGAGCAATCGCCTCAGCTGTGAAAATAGAGCTTTTGTCTGGTATTCAAGAGGATATAATTATTGATCCAACAACAGTGGCACTTGCTTCTTTGCCAACATCCTTAGACCCATCAGTAAAGATTGAACGGTGAGTGTCGTATTTATTTCTTATTTGTAAATATTCCTGGTGATAAACTAGTTGATTAGTGTCAGATTTGATATAACGTGTGAGGGAAACGTCCACTTCTGGCCTCACCAACTGCCAGGGAGGAGAAGACAAAAGTCGGTAAGGAGAGATGATGTCCAGATCTAGATTTGCAGCATTAATTTGAGATCTGAGCCACATTCCAAGTCAAGGAACCAGCTTTGATTTCTTCTGAAACAGTTTCTTCATATAGGGGATTAAAAACGGAGTCATAAGCAGGGTTGGAGGTATTGGAACGTAGTTTAGTAATATATTGAGAGACAATTTTGTTTAGCGTTGTTTTAAAGAGGGTTCATCAGCCTCGACATAGAGGCTGTCAGCTGGGGAAGTCCGAAAAGCACCAAGACAAAGTCTTAATTCTTGATGGTGGATTGAAACCAGTTTTTTTTTAAAACTTCTCTTACAAGCTCCAGCATATACAATGGCGCCATAGTCCGGCTTGGAGCGAATTAGAGATCTGTATAAGTGAAGAAGGGTTATCTGATCCCCTCCCGTCTTTGAATTTGAGACGACTTTTAACAAATATAGGGCCTTCAGGAATTTTGTCTTCGGCTATTTAATATGTGGGGAAAAAATTAATCCCAAATTTTGGCTTCTTTTACAATCTTGATTTGAGTGCCATCTAAAAAGAGTTTATGGGGTATATATTTCCGACAGAAATGTATACAACGAGTCTTGGTCTGTGAAAACTTAAAGCCATTCTCAAGACACCATTTATGAATTTTATTAAGACACAACTGTTATTTGCGTTCAATTGTACCCATGTTTTCACCACGACATAAGATATTAAAATCATCCACAAACAATGACCCATCAATTGAGTCATTTAATACTTTTGAGAGACTATTTATTTTTATACTGAACAATGTGACAGACAAAATAGGGTCCTGTGGAACTCCCTGGTCTTGATTATAATGATCAGACAGGGTTGATCCAACACGAACTTGAAATTGTCTGTCCGTTGAAAGCTGGGATATAAAATGGGGCAAACGGCCTCTTAAACCAAAGTCGTGTAAATCTTTTAAAATACCATGTTTCCATGTTGTATCTTAAGCTTTATCAAGATCGAAAAAGATTGATACAGCATGCTGGTTATTTACAATGGAATTTTTAATGAATGATTCGGAACGAACCAGATGGTCAATAGTACTGCGATTTTTGCGGAAACCACATTGAATATTGGTAATAACATTATTGGTTTTTAAAAAAACATACCAGTCGGTTATTGACCATGCGTTCCTTGGTTTTACAAACGCATCTAGTTAACAAAATAGGTCGATAGTTAGATGGATCAGTATGATCCCGGCCAGGTTTTGGTATAGAGATAACAATGGCATTGTGCCAGGAAGGAGGAAAGTGTCCAGTTGTCCAAATATTATCAAAAATATTTAGAAGCATTTCGAGACATGGATTGGGTAAACTCTTCAGTGTGTCCGTGAACAACTGAATAGGATCAGGGACGTTAATGAAAATGTCAGAAGTCAATTTGTCAATACAAAGTATCTGAAATAATGGCCAGTTGTCCTTTTTAAAATTCCACCTTCTCACAGGTGGTTCATCTTTCGGGTTAATAGCTGAAAGTATTGTGGGGAAATGATTGCTTCCACATAGATCATTGTGGACCGACCATTCAAATTCGTTATATACATTTGGATCTGTGAGTGACAGATAAAGAGCAGAATAAGTTCAAGTAGCGGGATGTAAATATGTGTCTGATCCATCATTAAATATGCATAATTTGTCATTTGAAATGAAGACTTCCAGGATTTTCCCTTTGCCCATTAAGGTAACCCATGATGACACAGGGTCTTGGGAGCTGATCAAACAAATCCT